ATTGGCACGCTGCCTGAAAGCAGATTCTCCCGTCTGCACACCTTTTATTATGTCTCCTTCATAGTGTCAGTACAAAGTCATTTCAAGATACTGCTCTTATAACCCGTTTCTCCTCATCTGAAACTGTGTAGCTGTTTCATTGCTGTAATGCAGCGAAGTAATACCTACTGTTGTGTTCTGCGGATGCATTTGAGTAGGACAGATTAATAACCGGTCACAGTAAAGCTTTAATCTGATTTGTTAGCAGGATAAATGTGAGAAGGGGGGATAAGTGAGGTGTCTTTGACTTGCCAAAACAATAAATCCCTATGACCGTGTCCTTGTTCTTTTTCCCCCTCTTCTCCTCTCAGGGTTTGGCAGCACACCGCAGCTGTAAGTGTCTGCGCTGCTGCCCCCCTCACGTCCGCCCTTAAGTCACGATTAAGTCAAAGCTTGGCTAGCTTTAGACGGATTAAAGCCCTGTTAATCTTCTTCAGTTACTATGGTTCCCCCTTAAATCCAACGAGCCTTCCTTGGGAGCAGCCTGAGGTTCCTGTTTGTCTGCTCATCGGTCCGTCCCAGAAAAAAAAAAAGAGCAGACAGGGGAGAGGGAGTTAAACGGGCTCGTCTGGATCCAGTCCTGGCCGGGGTCTGAGGAGGGTCCTGCAATGCAGCGAGAGAGCAACAGAACCAGCCGTTGAGTTAAAGGGTTCTGCTCCTGTCTGACGTTGCTGGTGTGTGCAGAAGGTGAGGGAGGAGTCCTGTCTCCCTCCCCCTCAGCCCCTCACTAGAAACCAGGACTGATCAGGGGGGACCGACTACCTTTGTAAAAAAACAACAACAAGACGGGGGTAAGTACCTCACCGGCCCTTTCTCTTATCTCCTCCATGAGCTCACCATAACATCCAGGTACCTTCCTCGTGCTCAGATTTCAATCAAAAGAAAGGCACATCGTCACTCAGTAGCTCAGGGTTGGTGATGTATCTTCCCTCTGTCATGATGGAGGGCAAAAGGTCCATTTATAAGTCATAAATCAGCAGTGCTGTCCGAGCCCCACCTCTTCTGTAATAAGAAACAGACGGAACATTTTGAATAGATTGGTGTGAAGGTTATGAAGCCGAAACATGGTTCTGAACAGTGTAAAAAACCTGCCGTCAAGCTCAGTTTGATCAACTGTATTAGTTTGAACTCAGTTATAATGGTGGTTAACTGAAAATAATCTACGTATGGATGCATGGAGTTTTTGAACAGTGTCTGACTGAGCAGGTAAGTAACTCTATTTATTTAGATCTTTATTAAAGTGACATGTTATGTCTTTAATTGAATGCATACATATACAGTTAATGTATATTATGTACTTACATTCAAATCATCAGCTCTTTAAGTGGAATTTAAATTGTTTCTCCAGTAGCTTTTTTATAATATATTTTAAATTTCCCTCATTGCTGATAAAGATGTGGAAGATATCAAGTTCGTCATCAACTATGACTACCCCAACTCCTCGGAGGATTACGTCCACCGTATTGGACGTACGGCCCGCAGCACCAACACGGGTACAGCTTACACCTTCTTCACCCAGGGGAACTGTCGACAGGCCCGGGACCTGGTCCGGGTTCTGACTGAGGCCCGGCAGGCCGTCAACCCCAAACTGCTCCAGCTGGTGGATTCAGGGCGTGGTGGAAACGGTAAGCACAATGACTCCCAAAAGGATCAACCCGACCCCGTGTTACCTTGCATTTTTAAAGAAAAACGTTATTCTCTCCACATGGCTCCATGATGAGCAAAGACTCAAATTGGTTCATGTTGATTGATGTAAATCTGGCATCAACAGTTCAACTATATCACAAGTGTCATTAATCAATATATTGGTTCACTACTTTCAAAACACGTGCATTTTGCCAAAACCTCATCATGTACAACACTGGGACTCGCCAAGAAGCACGACTTTGCAAGCGTAAAACAGTTTCGTGTTTTTTTTCAAATAGTGAGGTTTGTGGTAAGGGTGAGCATATAACTGGATGAATGAGACTCTGATTCAACTGCACCGAGTTTGTTTCAAACAAATGCTGCGATACAGTCCAGGTGAATCTTCAAGACTTTCTTTCAGTTTTGTCAATTCTTTGTTACCATGGAAACACGTGAACAAGTTTTCTTCAAGAATTGAAGGTGATACCCGGATGGTAACCAAAATATAAATTGTCATTATCGTGGTGAACTATTTCTTTAATGTATCGCAGTCCATCATATTGTTGAATGGAAGAGATAAAATAATACTGACATTTATCTTCATTACAGGCGGCAGAATGCGTTACCGTGGCAGCAGCTCCTACAACTCCAACAGCATGTATCAGGGGGGTTATGATCGCCGGACGTATGGCGGTGGTGGCAGCAAAGATGGCGCCAATGGCTTCAGCAGTGGTGGTCGCACCAACCATGATGCAAACCACTCCTCTTCCTCCTACAGGGACAGAAGCCAGGGGCACAGGAGTAGCTACAACTCTGGTGGCTCCGATCAGTTCCAGAGCTACAGCGGCAGCGGGGGCTACAGCTCCCGCAGCGGAGGCCCGCCCCCTGGAGGTCAGAGCAGCCAGCTGCAGGGTCAGTTTGCCCAGCCTCCTTCTGCTCCTCCATCAGCGGGGGGGCCAATTCCTCTGATGGCTCGGCCCTTCGCTCCTCTACAGCCACCGCTCAAGGGCATCATGGGGCAGCCTCCTCCTTACCCTTTTGCTGCTCCAGCCGCTCCTCCTTCAGGCCTTCCACCTCCCCGAAAGTAGAATTACGAGGAAGAGGCGCAGAGTTCATTGCGGCCACTCAGTGTGTTATTTCATTTTTTTGTCTTCTACCTAAGGTGGGGGTTTGAAAAGGCAGTATACGTAAGGATTTAAGGGCTAACATGTTTGTTTGTTCCATATGTTGAACCCACCTTAAACTAGAACCTTTATCCTTCAAGTTATTAGACATGATTTCTAATTTCCCAGTTTCATTCAGGTGCTCTCGACCATGTGACCTGGAGGAGCAATGTTGTTCTTTTCCTTTGATCACACATTGCAGAAGTTGATAGCTGCTGTAAAGTCTTTGGTTAGAACAAACATCTAGCACACATTACGTGGTGCATGGTTCAACGTGCTGATATATGGGAATTTCTTTCATTCTGTATAAACCGTCCCATTCCAGCGTCAAGTGTTCTAGCTTCATCACGTTCTCCATGCTGGACTTGTTTTGTTCTTCTATCATTTCATTGAGTTTATGTTTGTGTTATTCTGAACACTGAAGCCGTTGATCTTCTTTTGATACCATGAAACCACTATTTGACTTATTCCTATCTATCAATTTCAAACGTATGCTTCCTTGTAACTTGTAACTTTTAAACTCTTATTTCTTAAATAAGCATCATAGCTAAGGCTGAATTATTTTCAAGACTGTTGACTTGGTTTCTTGCTTGGTTTTTTAATTCATTCTGTTCTTAATTTCTTAATAAATAACAGAATCAAAGCGGTTTCTCCTTTGCAAATTATTGTTCATACCATTTATGTCAGGTAAAGTCCATACAAATGACTTTATTGGCCTTTAATACATATATTTGTAGTACATTCTCAATGTGTACCCAGCAATATGTACATGGTTGTTGCTTTTACTGATAATATACATCATGGCATGAAGCTTTTATTTACATTAGGAGCACAAATGGAAATGTCCCTTCCTCACAAATACAGTTTTCATGTTCTGGGTCTTAAGCTACATGTTTGAGTTCCCTACGTTACTTTGTTTTGCTTGCTCAAGTAAATATGGGCCCACCAGTCTGATTTATTCAAGGATGGCAGCTCTTCCATGCATCTAATCATTGTTGCAGTGTACTGCAATGGGAAGCATATAGGTACTTTTAGTAAAAGATTGCTGTGACCAAGGATGGGTGTTATGTGAACCTTTGAAGATGGGGCCCTGCAAAAACACATGACCTTTTAGCGTACCCCTAAATACACCTCTATACAAATAACAAATTATGGCTGCAAATGCATTGGTCATCCAATTTCTCCTGGTCATAGTGTTGGTGCGATAGTTGGTTCTGTAACTAAGGTTGCATCAGCGCAGACATATAGATGCCGTGCTGATTTACTACTTTAAGGTCCAACACGCCGATTAAAGTCCAAAAGCCATATTCTCATTATTGCTTCTCCAGTCAAAGAAAGGGCCAGCGCACGTCCTAAAGAAAAGGATACCATGGAGAAGATAAAGGCAGCAATACATGTGTCCTTTTTAAAGGGGCCCTATGATGTTCAGGTTCATATCAGTATAGTGTCTCTACTGTGTCTCCATGCTTTAATGTTCAAAAAGGTTGCTTTTGTTCTCCTACTGCCTGTGCTGCAGCACCTCTTTTCACCCTCTGTCTGACACCAGAGCCCAGTCTGTTCTGATTGGTTAGCTGGCTCTGTTGTGATTGGTCAACCGCTCAGAGATGTCCTGCCCTTTATCCTATCAAATGCAATGTGTTGGAGGGCTAGCTAAAAGAAGTGAGTGTTACATAGTGATGTCTTTTTGTTACAGAACTAAAAAAAGGAGTCCAAATGACGTGTTTCTGGAGAGGGGGGGGGGGGTTAGCCTTTGTAGGCCATTGACATGTGCACAAATACCTATATAACACACTGCAGGAAAGGGAATACCCAGAAAGCATAATATGGCCCTTTTAATCGAAGGCAATGAGTCAACAAGATAAGTTTGTATCTGACGACGAAGACAAACCTGTGACAGGCCGCTCAATGCATAGTTTACATATATCGTGCACATGTACATTATTTACAATCTGCTTGAATGATTGAAAAGTATATACTGAGGCAACATTTGTCTCATTATTGCTTTCTTACTTCCTGTCTGGTGTTACTGTATCTGTAAATAAATATAGGCAAATCTCTATACAAATGAAATAAGTCATAGAATAAGGAAGCAGTCTATAAAAGAGATCAATGTCACTGTGATGAAGATGTAAGTTGATCGACCATCAGGTTTATAACTATCATTATTACTCCATGGGTAGTTGTTCAATTGATCATATTTATAAACTGAATCTCTTACTGTATCCTTATTGTTGTAACACACGTGTTATTTTAGAAACGTTTTCTCTCAGTTGGACCCAGTCTGCCTCCATTACCAATTTATTGTAGCCTTTTATGATCCTAAAAGTGCTCCAATCAACTCAATAACCGTGGATGATTAGGATGATTCAGTAACATTTGCTTCACAAAGTATTTTCTGATAAGAACATTTGAAAAGAGAAACCGAGTCATTTGTTTACATATATGTACAAAGCAAAATAAAAATCATAACTCAGGCACATGTGGTAGAATCAAACCGGATGTCAACGGTGATGTCCCTCTTTGGGTGGAGCCACAGTAACACCGCAGTAAAAAACAATGTATGGAAATATGGAATGGGTTCATGTGCAAAATTAAAACAAGTGCATGAACGATTGTTTTGTGTAAAATAACTCTCAAAATCCTGAGTGAAAATATCAAAACAAGTTTCCCAATCTTTTTAAAAAGTGCAGAAATTAAAAATAAAATATCATTTAAACGGGGTCAGATTTAGCACCCTTCATTTTTCAAAGACAGACGTAATTAATGAAGTCAATGACGTTTGGATTCCATAACACCTGCACCTTTCCTGCTCTGACACAAATATAACAACAAAGGCAATCATTTAAAAGTACCAATATATCATGTATGCTCCCAGGACACATCTGTGTTGATACTTTTCCAGTTATTACAGATCAACTCTGAACAGTAACAAAAATCATCGCCATGTATTCAAAGTGATGTTTAAATTGAGTTTCTTCATTTCCCTACGCCACTTGATTTCTGACTGTTACATTGCTGCTGCAGCTGCTTCTTGAACACTGAAGTAGTGCTGAAACCATTTTATAGGACATTTATTTAAATATATCCTACTGATCATAGTTTGAATACATTGGGTGTTTTGGCTCTTGGTCATACCGTAAACATCACTTTAAGCATGTAACTGAAAAGCGGTTTTAACAAACGGAAAGAAAATAATGATAGCAACCCAGAACACTCGAACGCTCTGATTGTGGGACATGTTAGCCCAAAATGGAAAAAGGTAGGAATGTGCCTTATTTCAGAGTTGATTGGGTTTTGTAAAAAAACTGAAATAATGCAAAACACCAGCTGTTACATGTATTTCACATGACATGCGACATCTGAGAGGAGTGCTTGCTATGTGGACAACTGCACACATTCATTTTTAAATAGGCTCCACTTGTTTCCCCATTGAATCTTTTCTCTGACAGTTTGCGTTGGAATGATTGAAGAAAAAGCATGTACGAAACACAGGAAGGCGGAGATGATGGAATAAAGACAGGAAGGCTGCGAAGGAAGGCACAAAGTAGAAGCTGGAGCCACGGCGGTTTCATTTCAGTTTGTATCACCAAACCAGAGTTTGAAAGCGTTCAGTGAGGGAGAGGCCGTCCCGCCTCAAAGCCAGCGATGAGGGACAACTTCAACCGAAATCTAAAAGGAAGCAGCAGCAGCAGATCATGACAGGAGGTCGGCCTAAAGGCTCCCCCAGGTGTGGGGGGGCGGGAACTGGTCCACGTCTCCGGATTCATCGTGAGACGTGTCCCCTAGGTTGAACGTCAGCTTGTAACGCAGACGTACTTTTTCCTGAGAGGAGAAGAAGAAAATCAAATCTGATTAATGTTGCAAATCTCAGTCACTGCTTGAAGGTGCAATATCGTTATTCAAAAACACATTAGCAAAGATGAATGTAAGGAGGATATGGTTTATGTCGCCCTCTTGGTCCTACAGCATGTACATGACTACGAGTTAATAACCTTCAGTGAATATATATAGAGCTGTTTTTTCTTGCAAAAAGAAAAGTGTATCAATGCAAAGACTATTATTGTGTCCAATGACGTGACGTATTTTCTACAATACAAAGCTAGGGAGTTAGCAATAGGAACAGGAACTCGTGAAAGATATGGTTTCGAAATGTATCAAAGAATTTGAGTTTGACTTTTAAATGATGTGGTCTTTAAAAAAATCTTGGTATTTAGAAACTAGAATAGACACCAATGATATCAGACTATCGCCCTGAATGAGGCCGACACTAACGGATGAAAATGATTTCTAAATGGGTCGGATGGCAGAGTACCTTGTGAGGATTGGCCAACAGCAGGATCTGTGTGATGACAGCTGGAGGCAGGATGGGGTTATAGGCAGGGAGCTCTGTGCTGGAGGGGGGCTGCAGCTTCACCTTCATCACCTAGACACAACCAAAGCAAAATGTTATTTAAGTCAAAATAAATGTTTTCCCCCTGACTTTTACATCATGGTCTATTACAGGCTGGGAAGGGAGGGCCGACCTTTGGTACGGCGGCCTGAAAGCGGATGTTGGTGACGGGGATGGGGGCGGAGGACAGCATAGAGATGATCACCACCAGCACCTCGGGCCGGGATGGAGGACAGTCATGAGCAAAGGTGAATAAAACCCGGAGACTGTGTTTGTCGAATACAGTCACTGGTAATAAGCTGCCTGGAATATTATAGTAGGGAGAAAAAACAACAACAGATTGTGATGCAGAGGAAAATCAAAGAGAGAAAAAGTGTCTGATGGCCGTTGAATGCTTACTAGGCTTGATTGCTTCCAGAGGCACGGTAACGTCAGCTAGAGAGATGTTGTCGTAGGGGTCAGCAGAAACTGCCAGACTGAGATTGGGGAGGAGGAGAGAGTCCGGAGGCTCTGATTGGACGGCCAGGCTGAACGTGGGCACAGGAGCAGGAGCAGGATTGGAGGAGATGGAGGTTGCTTTAGGGTTGGCGTTGGACTTGGTCTGCATGTCTCGTAAAGTGACTCTGGATTGAGGTTGGAGTTTATCCCTGCATGTAGAAAACACATATGTCCCTTCAACAAGTGATTTACTACTGCTCTGTATTAAACAGTTTAGGGCTATGAAGAGTGACATGACAACATTCAGTGACACTTTGATTAAACTGCAGGCTGGACAAGAACGCTTGAGAAATTGTAAATAGATCCAAAAGAAAAATTATATTTTTGCCAATATATTGGTACAATTTGTGGGAAACTTCAACATTTAGAAAAGAAAATTCAAATCAAATATATGTTTGAAGTCACTGTAATAGGAACATTTGTTTCATTTTCAAAACTCTGACAGTCCTTGAATTAATATTATCGGAAAAATACTTCAGATGGAAAAGTAACAAAATATAAGCTTGAAATATTGATATTTAAATAAAAAAACAGTTTTGAAAATATCTCAAATATCACCAGACTCAAACAGTTTACTCTAACCAGACTAAAATAAAGTATTAAATTATGAGCATACACACCACCTCATTTTGTCTCCCGTGTTATTTCAGGCCAAATTGAGGAGATTGTGATGGGAGCAAAAACCTGTTTAACTAACCATTTGACTTGCTGGCTCTCTGGAGGAAGGGACTGCTGTAACAAGGTCTTCCCCAACAGGTCCAGCCCTTCTATGGGTTTGGGTGGAGCAGCGGGGCCCCCTGCTGGTGGAGCCGCTGTTTGGACCACAGCGGGCTGCAACACGGCAGGGCCCAATGCAGCAGAGGACTCTGTGCCATCAGAGGACTGAGGGGACAAACAGAGGGTTAAGGGATGTCTGTCAAAAACTATATAAGAAGTCCGAGATGATGTTAAAACTGTTTGATAATGAAAGCGGTATTAAAGCCTTTATGTGGAGTATTTGTTGGCGACTAAGATATATTTTCATTATTCGATTGGACATATCGGCTTTCAATTTGAGCAGAACAGTTTTGTCTTAACTTACGTACCTGAAAAGTGTTCTGAGAGTCAAAGTTCTCCGTTACATTCAATCCTAAAAGATCAGAGACAAACACAGGTTATTTCAAATGCAGTCAAACGTATGGTAACATATTACAATTGTAATGATTCAATTCACTGCTAAACAGTGGCGGTTCTAGAACATTTTACATGGGGTGGCAAAGGTGGGGCAAGAAGTCATGCCAGGGTGGGCGGACCGTACGTGGTATTTTATACTGTATAACCTATTTATTGTTAAATCATGCCCTAACACAAGTGTTCTTAATGCACAAGAGAAACAAGGTGTTCAGACAAACAAACTAAAATATAGTATAAAACAGCAGAAAGTACTCATGATACCCTAGAATTCTGTTTACTGTAAGTACAGTAAAAGTACTTAGTTATAATTAAGTACACAAATGACATCACCCATCTCTTAAGAGAGCTAAAGGTGACCTGTGCAGCAACACATTTCAACATGTGTCAATACTAAGAGCTGCTAGATTGTGCTGCTGTGATATGTAAGCAAGGAGAATGAAAACATACCATGTGGTCCAGCTGGAGTTTCATCTGCCTCCTGATCCCTGCCTCTGTCCCTCTTTCTGATACTTCATCTTTATTCCTCACATACATTTCTTCTTCTTCACCAATGTCTTCATCTCCTCCTCTTCCTCCTGCTCTGACCCTCCTGGTCTCTTCGTCTCCTCCTCTTCCTCCTGCTCTGACCCTCCTGGTCTCTTCAGTGAACTCTCTTTTCCTTTATCTGTTCACTTCTCAGATAGGCCTATGTCTTTTTATTTTTGTTGAATCACTCCAGCTACTCTGTCCTGCAAGAGTCTACTTGTGAAAAGCACTGGTACAAATGCTTGTATAACTTTACACGTTAGGGCCATGTAGCTAATAGGTAGCATAGCCTATAATAAATATAAAATCAGAAAGTATTTATCAAACGCACACAGGCAGCTGCGTTTAGATCCAGTTTGACGGTAAAGGATGTATCCTGGTTTAATTTATCTGGCCTCATTGCTGTGATGTGTAGTGTACGTGGATTTAATAGTACCGCATAGTTTAGCAAATAAAGTGATCGATCTCCCAGCTAGCGCTGTCTGCGTAGTATTTTGTAACGTAACGTCCCAAACGGCGTCTGTTAAACGCTATCGATTCAAACGGCAGCGTTTTATTAATATTTTGTTCCAAGCTCTCGTCCTTATTAAAAACAAAACCAGTTGAGGGGGAAATGCTCCCAGGGGAAGCTGATCCACCTTCAGGTGCTGGGACAGCTCGGTCTCTCTGCAGCTGTGTGAGCCGCGGTCTGTGTGAACGCCGCTCCGCAGTTTGATGCAGGGCCGTAGCTACGTTTTTAACGGGCCTAAGATGATATTTAAAATGATTCACTTTTAATTAATGAACTGCTTGTTTCGTTGCTTGAGAAGCTTGTGGACATAGTGTGGGTTTGTTTCTACAAGTACAGTTTTAGGGACACAAAAGTTAGGGGGGCAGCTGGGGGGGCAAGTCTCTACAGTGGGGGGGGGCAGCTTCCCCCCTTTTCCCCCGTAGATCCGCCCCTACTGCTAAATCACTTCTTATGTCAGATTTTGTGACGTGTAAGGCTAAATCTAAAAAGGCTGTGTGATGTGGTTTAGCCAGATGTTGGGCTACATCTGGCTAAACCACAATGTGCTTACACTGCTGGCTCAAACTCTTTGGCTTGTTAAAAAAGTAAAACTTAGTAATCTACCTTAGCGCTTACAAGCCAGATGAGTTGTATGTGCTTACCTAGTGACATGAGCTCATCATCCAGGAGGCTGATGCCCATGTTCTGAATGAGGGTCTGCAGGCTGAGGGGCTCTGGGTCGGATGGTGCTGTGTTTGCGGATGCGTTAAGTCCCATCAGGTCTACGAGAGCTGAGCTACTGCCGCCTGAATTCCAGATGAAAAAAGCCATTTATGATCTTAATGTCTACAGAAATGCCAGGTAGAAACGGAAGGACTTTAAACCACACACCCATGTACAAACCTGTCTGTGGGGACATGGTGAGACCGTCCTTGGACACGTCCTCTCCCTTCACCAGCTGTCTGTACAGGTTGATGACCTGCGTCAGGCTGTCATTGGCCTGTAATATTTCAGCTGAAAGCAAAAACAAATGTTTATTAAACCTTTAATAAATCATAGTCATACATCTGTAAGAATTGAAATTAAAGTCTAATTTTCAAATGTTTGAATTGCAAAATCTAAGCTTAAAAAAAACTTAGTATTTTTTTTATTCTTGCCAAAATGAATCTGTTTGAACTAACCACATCCAGTAACACTTGTATTTCCTGTGCCCTTCAGCATACATACAACTCCTACATTTTCCAATATTGGCAGAAATATTGAATGATGATCAACAGTGTCTGAAATAAAGGCTTATTTTCAACAGAGCTCAGAAACCGTACCTAGTGCTTCGTCACTGTCCTCTGTATCACTTGCTAACCGGAAAAGTGTCGGCCTCATCTTTTCACAGCGCTGGTAAAGATCCTGCAAATACACACGTGTTAAAAACAGTGAAACAGCAGCTGTGGTGCAGGCGCGATTGTGAGGCCGTTTCTGCAGACAGTTTCAAATGTGCTGAGCTGCACTAACCTTAATGAGCTCCTGGTTGCTATGGGAGCAGCTCTCCCTGCTGTAGCCCTCCAGCATCTGGCTCAGCAGGCTTACACTCTCCTTCACCTCCTGGATGGCGTTCAGTCGCTTTGATACCTTCTCCACGCGCTTTTGGTCCTGGAAACAGAACACAAGGATCTCAAAGGGGCGTGATTATGACAAAGGATGACATCTGATGTATCATATATGTAAATTAAAGGCTAAACTACAGTTTAAGACTATTCTTTATCATGACAAATATCATGTGATGGTTAGCTGGGTTGACATTGTTAACAACAAGGGGCCATATTATAATTTTGGGGTTTTCCCTTTCCTAAAGTTACATCCAGAGAGAGTTTCTCTGCTGAGGAAACGTATGAGGACAATAAATACCTTTTGGAACATTAAACAGGGTTCATATACTTTTTCACCAATGATTTTCCCATGACCTTTACCTAATTTTCCATGACCAAAAAAATTACTCTTTCTCAGCGGTGCCACTGAAAATGGTTTATTTTAACATGGAACAGGAAAACAAGGTCTGCATGTGAAATATGTTGTGCCTATCTAAAACAAATCAAATAGTAGACTTACTAGCTTCTACACGCTAAAGCAACTCAAATCTCTCACCAGCAAAATACCTCAACAGTTAAATGCCATTTTACGTTTCATTACTAAACGATACAGTATTTATTCTCATTATAGTATTACTATTTCGGTGATTTGATAAAATATAAATGATATTTGATGCAACTTTAGTTACATTTCCGTGACTTTCCCAAAACTTTGGGAAAAATATTGTTTTCCATAACTTTTCCAGGGCCTGGAATTAGCATTTTGAATTTCCATGACTTTTCCAGGTTTTTAATGACCGTAAGAACCCTGATTAAAGCATATACAAATTACACAGTAGAGGCACTAAATACAAATATGAACCTGAAATGTGCATAAAGGGAGCCCTTTAAATTAGTTTATATATTTTAAACTTTAAATATATAGTATCTTTCATTTAATGAATCAGAATTTCAAATCATAATGATGATAACTTTTGTAAAAATAAATTATTCTTTCTATGTTTTATTACATTTTGGTAAGAGGTGTTAAAATAATTACAGTTTTAAGATTAAATTCCTTTAACAATTTCTAGCTGTAACTAAACCTGATGTTTGATTATACCAATATCAAGACCATGATTATAATTAGATATTAAGCGTTCCACATTTGTCGAAATCTGAGTGCATCACTCACACTTAAAAAGGTCCCATGTCATGGCCATTTCTACTGATCATAATTCCATTGTTGAGGTCTACTAAAATAGATTTATATTGTGCAATTTTCCAAACTCACATTGGTTTCTCAAACAGCATCTCTGTATAGTATGTGTATTCACTCTCTGTCCTAAACGGCTTGATGGAGCTCCTGCCCCCCCTCCCGGTGAGCCCAGTGGCCGTCTGCAAGACAGCGAGACACAGCGAAACCCAGCCCGAAACACACCCGCAGCCTGGCTGGGAGTTTGTGTGTGTGCCCAGGCTGAGTTCCGCGGTGTCTCGCTGTCTCGCCGACCCCACACCAGTGAGCCAGCTCAGTGTCCCATTCCTCGCAGCAGCGAGCCTCGCAACGTCCCGCCGAGTGTGTGTGTGAGAGGAAGTCCGTAACGGGAAAACTCCAACGAGGCGTTCTGGGGCAGCACAGACAGGTCTTTTCTGTGTTAGAGTTTTACTCGCTACAGGGTGTACTTTGAGGGTTTGTGACTCTGCAGACCGTTTACATGCAGAAAATGCTACATAACACACAAGGGGACGGGTAATAACCAGAAAAGCATGACATGGGACCTTTAAGTATTAAGCACTATGACAACAAAAATTGAAAAGACCTTAGGACCACTATTTGCATGCATTAATGTGATCAGGCTTCATAACTGGGTGGATCTTTTGTTAAACTGGTGGAAAAACCGAGACGCACATGCATGTGGGCCCACGTACAGCACACCATGAGCGATGACTCACCTCCTGGACCATTTCCTTAATGAGCTTGTTTGCCGCTCTTAGATCTTCTGGTTGAGTGCTGTTCAACAAGAGAGTCAGCGTCTACACAAACAGGAAAGAGGAGGGAGAGGAAAGAAAGAGGAAGAGGCCTTTGTAAACCCTGGATGATACCACACGGTGGTCACTTTAAAAAGTGATTCAATGGGTACAGCATTTTTCTAATATATATATAATAAAGAACTTTCTTTTGAAACCCTATCCAAAGTGCCTCCTCATCACTACTCATACCTTGGATTTCTCCTCATCCTCAAAGATGATGTTTTTGGCTCTGGGTGCTGGGGGTGGGAGGGGCTTGTCCTCAGGAAGTGCAGGATCTACCTTCACAATGCCTGGAAGAGAAACACGGACCCTCTTAACCTCACATGTAAACAGCTCAGAAGGGTCTGCGTCACCTGGGACTCAACTGCTGTCCATGATGTAAGCCTTTAAGCGATAATGATGCCATAACATTGTTCTCCACACCTCTTGAAGATCAGGCTACAAATTACATTGAGGATTGTTTTCACATTTCTTTTTTAAGTCCCAAAATGGTTGAACATCTTCATACCTCTCCAACTGCTTATCTGAGCATGTTCGAAACCATTCCTTAAGGTCGTCTAGTGTTAAAAAATTATTATTAAGGCTGTTCTTATGCAGAAAATGTTTCGAAAAAGCTCCCCAAAATCTGTCGATAGCTAAAGGATTGTCCAAAAATTGCACTTTTTTGAAATATTATTGTTAATATATGATGTTATTTTATGTTTTTCATGATTGCTTTGTGTTTTTTTTATATCCTATTTTCTTAATAGCCAAGCTAATGATTTGATTCTCTTGTAAAACACTTTGAGCTGCATGTGTTGTGAAAGGGGCTGTATGAATAACCTTTATTTATACGATTATTTTTATAAATAAGCAATTAACAAGAAAGTCAGTTGCTTTCTGTCAACATGCAAATATATGGTGCATTCACACCCTACATAAGTATGAATTACACTGTAGTAACTTAGGAGAATTATTCAGCTACACTATTTGATACACTCAATGCAACTTAGCATGACTAAGGCAGTAGTGCCATGCATGTGGGTCACCGCCACAAAAAGGAGAACTGATACTTCCTTGTACAAACTACTATTTGTAGGAAAATATTGGTAACCAAAAAAAACACATTATCAGCTCAAATGGAAACTAATAAAAGCATTGATAAAGCCTTGAGGTGGGAACCTTTTAAATGTACCGTGAAGAGAATGAGAAACCTGAAGATAAAGAACCGTGTCCTTTATCTTGATGGCTTCTCATTGTCTTCTTGTTGCACTCACCCTGTTTTTTCAGCATCTGATAGGCGTCTGCTATCTTAGTCTCATGAGGCATCTTCACTGTCCAGCTGAACATTATTTCTATCACCTTATTCTTCACTGGCTCTGGGGCCCGGGTTCCCAAATACTGCAGAGAAGCAGGGAATAATGCAAGGTTAGAGTCAAATGTGTTTTTTCCTTTATTCTTCCATTACAGTGTCCTAATGATCTTAGATGTACAGTTGCAGACATATAAGCATAGCAGTATAAATAACAGGGATCATTACCTTGGGTGACACCACTTTGATGAGCTCATTGAGAAAGCGAAACTTTCCCACTTCAATGTGAAATCGCTTCCCACAGCTCTTCATGCACGTCTCCAGAACCTGGGAACATTTTAGAGTTTGTTTGTTTTAAATTTAAATGGAGAAGCCTTCAAAAGAAGTGGCTTCTAATGTTACTTTACTGTTCAAGACCTTTATACTTCATATCTTACCAGAAGCGCTTGCATAGCCTCCCATTCCTGAGGAGACTGGACTTTGTGGGCCAGGAGTCTGGTTGCAAGCTGGGGACTGATACAAAACAAAATGTACATTTATACGTGTACAAAATACTGCAAGGCAACACATTGAATGTTCCACAAAATCACTCTGTACAAATATGCATAGATGATATCACCAAATGTATGAATTATCATGTGATTTATAAGATGTTTTTCTACAGAGCTGCAAAACTGGAATAAACTCAGTTATTATAATTTCAAACAACAGCTGGAATATTGCTTGATTCTGTATTTTGCATATTACCCTGGTGTTATATCCTCATCATCAACATCCTCATCATCATCATCATCATCATCATCATCTCACCCTTCTGGATCATTGTTGAGCTGATCACAAAATCCCTTGATAATGTCCCAGTCAGTGTCCTTATTCAAAGGGTTGGTGGCCTTGTCTATGTGAAAGGAACACATTAGGCTCTGCATCAGCTGTATATACAAACTTTAAAACTGCTGCATGTGGTTGCGTTTTCTTTAACAACAAAAACTATGACAAAACACGAGTTTTCTGACTTTCCATGTGTGATTGCTCTGCATAGATGTGTGAAGTCTGTCAAACCTGGCCGTACTAACCTTTTGCATGTAGTGGTTATTCACTTTATTAAGAAGCAACGTTTGATCTTATCAGAAGCCTGTGATAACCATCAGCTGATGTTGGTTGTGTGCAAACTATCAATTCTCTGGTTGTAACAGCAGTTTTGTGATTGTATAAAATGGGTAACTGGGGAACTGAATAAGTATGGTTCCTGGTTCGTTCAAGTGGCTTGTTTGATCTTTGGTTGGCTGCTACCTAGCTGGTTGAGTTAGCTAGCATTAAGCTTGCCATGTTTGAGCAGCCTCCCCAAATGCAAGCTGTCAGCAGGTAACACAATCTGAGTCCAAAACGCTCATTACAGAAACGGTGAATCATTATCTGGCGGAGTTTGTTCCTTTTCGAGAACTGCACTTTTTTGATTTAATGACATTCGCTCTCTTGGCTTTATATCTTCCCTCGGGAAAATGCTATGGCTGACCGCCACACATTTAAAACGAGATTATGTCTCTGTGCATTTTAACAGCGTATCGGCTATCACTGTCCTTTCAAAAGTGAAACTGATACGGTAGAGTATATTGACTTACTGATGCGAGACTGCAGGGTAGCCTCATCCGGAGGCGCCGCCGCCATCTTTCGGGAATTCTAAACAAGTGGTAACTCTCGCGTGATTTTGTAACATATCGCGAGGCTAGCCTTAGTCAGTACCAGAGCCCTAGAGAGATTATCTCTCTAGGGCTCTGGTCAGTACGTTTCTTTAGCCCCCCCTCTTGGGCGGGAAAAGAAACACCAACGTGACACTGTAGGGTGGCAGCCATAGGTGGCAGCCAACGCTTCAATCAGAGCCATATAATATAATTCTAAATATAATTCTCTCTATATGGCGCTGGCTTCAATCAATGTAGATACAATGGCTTGGGCTGCCAGCATTGATCAGCATTAATGGGGCCGGATTTTACAGTGTAATTTAATTTTGTTGCCGCAAAGTGGGCGTCGGAAGCGGTCTCCAATAGCGCGTGCAGTTGCTAACAGACTTTTCTATGCACCGTTTTAACAGCCAGTCACTGCACCAACAAACAAAACCCTTCTGCTGCCCACCTCAATGAGGAAACTGTCCCCTCTGCTTCGCTGAGCCATTATCGCCCGAAACTGTCACGGTCCACGGACAACCAGTGCCAGCGCCCATTGAAGAGGCAAACCTGCAAACCGCTGTCAGGAGCAGCTAACTGCAGGCTAACGCCCCTTAGCTAGCAAGCTGAGTTCATACGTGAAGAACTTTGTTGGCAAGCTACCGTCATCATCTCTGGATATTAGCCGTGTCTTTAACCCTGTGTTTCTGGTCAAAGTATCTCTTTAGACGGAGACGTTGCTGACTAAATAACTCGGTACATGAGATACACTGGGGCACAATGTAGTCTATTGTGTGTTTGTAAAAGTTAAGTAACACCTTGCTAGCTTGCCAGCCATGCTAGTTTTTCTTAACGTGACTCACTGGCTGGTAATGAATGCACCGTATCTTTACTTCGGGTGTTGTCTGGCCCCTTCACTGACACGCTGCTGATGACTCGTTTATGACCAGGCAGAAAGACTTTGTGTCGTCTCCCGTCAAGCTTGTGACAGAGAAACGTGATTTTATTGACAGACTACTTGGATACCTACAGTACCATGGGGTCTCTGAAGGCTCTCCAGGAGTGGTGTCGGATACAGTGTGAACATTACAACGATGTGGAAGTAAAGGACATGTCAACGTCCTTTCGGAACGGATTGGCGTTTTGTGCCATAATTCATCGTTACAGACCGGAATTAATGTGAGTAACCCGGAGTCTAACGACCCAACATTAATAGTATATTGCATTATTAACCAATATGTGGTTAAAGTTAACGATATACGGTGAAAATTGGACGCATCTTTTTGAGGAGTGACATGCTGAATGCTGTTGTGTTTTCAAATGGTTTTAAAGTACTTTAATACACAGTATGTTAATCCTTTTAGGATACAAATGAAAAACCAAATCAGTAGCCGGATCGTGAACTCATCTATGCTCCTGTTTAATCCATTAATAGATTTTTTTAAAGACTGAGATTATGTGAGACTAGTCTGTTTTTGTATACCTTTTTTGTATAACGCTGACTACCTTGAAAACACTGATAACTGATTGAATAACTCTAGTGGTAAGATCCTTTGCCATTTATGTCACATTCGTATCAACAATGTATGTTTTTGTGTTGTATTCTCAGGTTTCAGGATTTTTAGCCAAAAACCTCCAAACATTCTTTTTTCTCTCCAACATTTAAAGTGGGAGGCCACAGTGCTGTTATTAACTCAGGCTGACAAACTATGCCCTGTCTGTAACAACCAGTCTATGGTAACAACACACCCCTCCTCTCAGGATCTACACCTACACACACATTACAGAAGCTCCCACAAAACACAACAACAGTATCAGTGTGACCAACATATTTATTATGGCGATGAGGAAATCCCTTTGTTACGGCAGAGACACCAAAAGGCACTATTTTTTATTTAGTGAGAAACAGCCTTTCAATACTTACATCTTAAGAATATGAGGGCCGTCATGTGTTGGTACTACACATATTTTCACTTTAAACTGATTTAAGACAGACAAATAACAAAATCTGCATATTTTAGAGGCAAACAATTATTCTCTTCAATTGTATGCATTAAAAATCCCTTAAATAATTATCATAATTTTTTAAACATGTTTTTATTGATATAGCTCAACTCTTGATCTTTTGTTTCAAGGCAGGTACATTTTTGTTCTGAAAAGTTTCTATTCGTTGCAGCGTGTCAGTAAATATAAACGGAAACTCTGCCCTTCATATGACTCGCATTGGACATGCATCTGAAGTAGCACCAGTGTAGCATAACGTGGCTTTATTGGGAATGCTTGACAGCCTCAGATAAGTGTTTGGACTCCTTCTGAGATATGTTGTAGGAGGCTTTTGTATAAGCAGCCAGTACAGGAGGGGAACATTTGATGATGGAGTGATTTTAGACAAAAAGCATCTTGCCCATGCTGCTAACCTCTCAGGTGGTCCAGGCTTTTTGTAAGTAAATTGGACTGAAGGATAGCAAACATTCACTCGAGGACAAGTCAGTGAAGTGGAATTTCTCTGCAGTAGAGCTGAAAATAAGTGCTTGGACAAATCCTAAAAACCCAGCTTTGGAGCGCTGCCGCTTCAATTTGTGTCCCAGCATGCCTCCCTCTCCAGCCCTCTGTGTAGCTGCAGCACCCCAACTGAACTCTCTGTGATCCAGACAGACAGTCCGTCGGGCTAATCTGCAGCTGAGACCTCCGCCTGTCAAACTGCATTTAGCTCTAATGGCTGGGCCTGGCCTCCGTAGAGCTGCCCTGCACTCTGCCGCCAATGTATTCTCATCAGAGTACACCGCACTGATGCCGAGGGGGCACGTTAGTACAGTTAATGGCCTCATCTCAGTTTCAGCCCCACACCGACTGTCACTCAGCTTTTCTGGAGAGGGATGGCGAGATGAAGCTTTGAAGCTTTCCAGCCAATTGGTTCGCAAAAGGGTTCATCTCACAAAGCTTCATCATGGGCTTCATCTGAACACAAACCTGTTGGTCAAACTGTGTAAAACAGGCAGATTTGACACCTCAATAGTGTGCTGTATCTCATACCGAGTTCCCAATGATAAAGCCTTAGAATAACTAAACAACCAACATAAACTCATATTTTCATGTCAACAATATTTCCAGTTGAATGATTGTGATTGAAAAGCCTAAGGAGGCTGGTAAACATTGCAAAGAGGGATTTGTATTCCTTAATAATATTCATAAACGTAACCATGTTGTAGCCTGAGAAAGGCTAAACCATATCAAAGAATACATGTATTAACTACATTATCTCATTTAGCTGTAGCTTTTATAAACAACAAAAAATACGTATCGACCAGGCGTTGAACCAGGGACCCTGCGATCGTGAGTCAACTGCTTTCCAGCTGAGCCACAGCACACACACTGAATATACCTGAAAACACTGCATACTATTTATTCCTGTATTTATTCATGTTTTTATTCCTACATTTATTTATGCTTTTATTCATTTATACTTATGACATGTTCCGACGTTTATATAAGTGAGGGTCTGAGCTCTTTTAATTCCATCGTGTCACCGGGCCCGGGTACAGGAAGGGTAATATGGTTCTTATTGACCCATGGGTATTATGAGCGTTGTGGTTCAACCGATCTGAATGGCTTCGTGAAGCAGTCACGTGGTATCGACAGGCAGCGAGGCTTCGTTTGTCATCGATGACGTCACTGGCCCAAAACGATACAAGCCTCGATACAAGCTTCACAAAAAGCTTCGGGGATTACTCGACACACGCTCCGAAGCACCGCGCTATACGTAACATCACTAGGAGTAGACATGACAGCGAGAAATCATCTATGGTCCAGTTAACCAAAGTGCATGGGACAGTGAGGTCAGAATTGCATTTTAATTAAATTGTCTTCATAAATGCTGCAGTTGAAACACTAACGTCATCAACTTAGTTTTACTTTCTCCTCCGTGTTGGCATTTTATCTCCATAATGCATGTTTTGTCCCCCTTGCTCAGATACCAAAACTACTGAATATTTTGTATTCATAAGCTCCATTTTTGATTTTCACGACGTCACCTATCCAGCAGTGTGTTGGATACCAAATGTGGTAGATATTCTTGTTCATCCCGGTTTTGAACGTATGAATCTAAAAAGCCCGTACAGTACACACACACACACACACACACACACACACTCCACTCCTGTGCATTCCTCCTTCCCAAAATAAACCTTGGAGCGAGACTGGACTATGTTTGCAATTCAGATCATGCACGTCGGCTGCCACCGTCTGTTCTGCGAGTGTCACGCAGTTTGTCAAAACGTTTTTTTAAAGCTTCTGGCTGCAGCTCCTTCTGTATACGTTGGTAGATGTGACATAGTGGACTCGTTGTGACACGGTATTGATGTTAGAGCTGCTGCTGTGACCATGGGAACTAGATTAGAGAGAACAGAGGTCACTTTGTGCGGCTCCAACACGGAGCTCATTCACAGGGTTTTTCCCTTCTTGAGACTTCCACATGGTCTCCACAAGCTCTCTCACCAGGGTCAAGGTGTTTTTTCCGCCACACTGTTTTCCTACTGTTAACATACATTTACTTATGCACACTTTCCTCCCAGAACACCTCAGACATGTTCCATGTTTACTGCAGGATGTTTACAGGCTTTGGTTCCCTGGCCCTGAGGCATTTCAAAGCAGAGCCTTGTAATTATCGGCCCATCACTCCTCTTTGGTGTGCGAGTTCTTTCCTTTTGTACCTGCACTTCATGACATAAATGGTTTAACAATCAATACTGTACTGTCCTATATCAGCATGGCTTTGTTTTCTGAAGTAATCCTGATGTAAAAGGACATACTATGGTTTGAAGTTGTTGCAGACTAAATCACTTTACACCAACTACCTGCATACCCAGCCTTATCTCAAATTGTATCTTGACATTTGAAATGTTTTCTTGTCATTTCAGAGACTTTGGCTCGCTGTCTAAAGAGAATGTGTACGACAACAACCGACTGGTGAGTCTACTTTACTCCACTGGTCTTATGTTGCTTTTATTTTGCTTTGAAGGGAAGTACAAGTCACTTATTTTGTTTTAGGCGTTGCATTTGCTTCTTTCAGCCGTTAAAATATTACTAAGCCTCACATTTGCATGCAGTCATGCTGGGTGTGACCTCAGTGTGTTTGACTGTGTGCCTATGTCTTATTTCATTTCCATGAGCAGAGTGGGAGTAGGCTGAAGCATTATATGTCCTAAAAAACAGCCTGAAATACCCCTGTGTGGGGACCATTTAAAAACGTGCTGAATTTGCAGCTTAAAAGTTCTTGGATAGAAACCAAGAGTCCTTTTGGGGTCTTTCCACATTATCTGTAAACCAGCATAACATTGAGTCGATAAAGTGGGAGTCTCCTCATTTCCAGGCTGAGCTAAGTTGGCAGCTCTTTGCTGCTGTTTATATCATTTTCATCCAGCTGCTTTCAGGGAAAGTGAGGCGGGAACAAACTCTGTGTGCAGGCTATCATTGTAAAGTGGCGAAGTCCCGCCCTTCTACTTCCGCCCCATGGGACCTTATTTCGGAAAAAGTATGTATTGAAGTCAATGGGGAGAGAAAGATTATCTTTCGATCCCGTTTGAATTGTGCCACGAATTACACATATGATGTTTGCCAATCTTAAAAAATTATTTCCATGTCAAAAAAGTCACAGTTTGTCGTAAAACTGTTGAAATATAAGACTATGAAAAATACGCAAATAGAAAGACTACAAATCCCAGAGTCGCGTCAGTGATGTCATTAACGTTACACATTACACTCGTGTTACTCACCGAAACCTTGTAAAGCCGGTCCCGCATGCTGGCTCTCACGGAACCGACTAACTCCCCTTGTGTGTACGTACAGTTCTCAACATGGCCAGACTTGTAGTGATTTTCACCTCTTTTAATACTTTTCGCCTCATTCTGAAAGAAAGAAGTGAAATGTGCCAACGTGACGGCCATCTTGGTGTTGGTGACGTGTGTGAGACCAGAGATGTAGTTCATGGAGCGGTTCACACAAAAAACGTGTTACTTCACAGTTTTACGACACGTTTATATTTTTTTGACTTGCAAAATTATCTTTTAGATTGACAAACATCATATGTGTAATTCGTGGCACAATTCAAACGGGATCAAAAGATAATCTTTCTCTCGCCAATGCCATTGACTTCAATACATAATTTTTCCGAAATAAGTTCCCATGGAGGTCCACCGGAAGGGGAGGGACTTCGCCTCTCTATATATTAATGAAGATATTCGCTGTATCCATAAGGCCCAAGCCTGAGTATTCTAAAAAGTACAGATTTGACTATTAAGGATATTCCTTTTAACCTACTCTTTGTGCTTGATTATTTCTTAGTATTACTTTTTGAAATGCACCTTTCATACAGGTGCATACAGGGGTCTACTTTAACAAGTGTTTGACCCTCTTCATATATGACTGACTGCTGTCAGAGGTTGAAACCTTGTTGTCAGTCTTCACTGTAGTTGCACACATTACTGCTAACTGTAGTCTCTCACTGTTTGAGATACTTTATTAAGTTACTGAACGTGTCGGTTTCACTTCCCTCCACTTGCTTACATTATGTCACTTACCCACCCATGAACTATTCCTCTTTTGTTTTAGATTCATATCTTTTGTGGAATCATCATTCATATTTAAATAGAATTGCTTTTATAAAAACAAGTTATTCCAGTGTGAATATAAAAGTAAAATGTGTTAAATGAACTTCAATGACAGCTATCTCTAAATGCTGGCTAGCTTTCGTTAACTTACAACTGTCTCCGGATGTCACGTTGATATCAAGATGAATCGGCAGCAGGAGTCAATGAATTTGGGCTTGGGCTCTATTTTTAAAAGTCATTTTTGGTTTATGCATTTGGAACTGATGTATGAATGGCCTGTATTTCTAGTTGGATATGCAAAACAGCAAGCATTTTATTATTCTTGAATTCCCCCTACATTTAAAACAAAGTCTCATCTCCAATAGAAACACCTGTTTCCCAAAGGGTCCACCTGCATGAAGTTAAAGTCTGGAGGAGGTTCATGAAAGCAGGTCAGGTGACCCAGACAGGCGGTGCTGGTCTGACCTGCTTCTCTGGGTCCTTCTCACTTCGGTTAAATGGATTCCTTGCGTCCCTCACTTGCGTCGTTTCCCTGCGACTAGTCCCTCCCACCAGGGAAGCATGGAGAGACGCAAGGAAACCACGAGAAGCAGGGAAATGAGTTTTAAGAGCAATGGGACGTCCTTTCCTCCGGGGCGTCACGTGAAGCGACATCCGTTTGTGATGACGCTGCACAGCTGATCGTCTGACAGCAGCTCTGTCCCCGTTATTTCCACACACACCCCCGCCTCTGTTAGTATATCCAGTCTATGGTTAGTACACATTTACTGACACAAACATTTGTATCATCTGTTGTAGATCCAAATACATTAAATAAAATAAGAACTCATTCTCAAAAAAGATAAACGCCATTCTTAAAATGTATAAACGAACAATAGTTTGATTAATATTGATTAGAGTGCACAATAGAAATAAAATAATTGAGAGAAGAAAAAGAGATATGTTATCTATCAAAACCCAGTTAGATTAACATTCATTGGATTGCACACTTTGTTTGTTTGTTTGGATATGTAGCACATTAACATTTTAATAGCACTGAATGACTGACTGAATGGAAATGACAATAAATGAAAATGTAAAACGAAAAAAGCGATCATGAAAATGTTTCCAATCAATGAATAAAATGATTTTTGACCACTTTGTTGTTCAGATATATCACATATTTGTAACTAAATGATACATGAATTGAAACAAAACACGGTATAAACTGAGGAGTGAGTCCCGTGAGGTTCATGTATTTTCTTCACTCCGCTGGGAAACTGCTCTCATGTCAAGAAGCATCAGATCAGTGCATGTACTGCCTCGTCCAATCAGTGAGCGATACACAGTAAGGGGGCGGGGCGAGTATCTGAGGATTTCATCGGAGGATGGTCTGGTGGTTCCTCGATTATCGCTCCTCCATTATCGCTCCTCGATCCTCGCTCCTCCGGCAGAAATAAGGCCATTGGGACGCTACTCAAGATGGCGCAGACAAATCAACTTCCGGTGAGACCGAGACCGAGGAGCGAGGAAATGAAAAATAAGAGAAGTGAGAAGGGCCCTCTGTGTCCTTTTGGGGAACTCTGACTCACAGGTGCATCCTGCTTTGGACTAATTGCAAAGAGAGCAAAATGTTTCAGTTCATAGTCATACACTAAGAATGTTTTGAACTAACGGTTATCTGGACTGTTTATGAAGATATCTGCGTATTGCTTAAAATATGTTCATACAAAATGTACCTTTTGGCATTTCCAACAAGGATAGCTGTGGAACAAGTCTATGAAGTGAAACTGTATCAGTATTGAGCATTAATATACAGAAATTGCAAAACATATTTGTAGCTGTAAACCAGGTTATTGTACAGTGTTGGCAGTGTTGAGTGACTGCCAACAGATGTATCCCTGTTACGTAACTTCAGTGCCGGTCTAATTTCTTCAGTGGAATTTTTCATTAGACTGATGGTTATCCTCAAAGGACAAAACATGACATTATCAGCAAATGGCTGATGCTTTGGCAGCAGAGTTAGATTATTCAGGACATCAGGTATGCCATGGACGGTTGGTCATGGCAAGCATCTTTTTTTGCAACAAAACAAATAGTCAATAGTTAAATTATTATTTTCTCAGTTTCATCAGTTTATTTTTTTTCAAAGTTTTGGAACTTTTAAAAGGAGACACAGCTTAATACCTAGATTTAGTATAATGATTAATTGAGCAGTAACGTGTCTTTCCGGTTATGGCAGTTATGATGAACAGACTTCATTTTGAAGAGTTTCCATTGCAGCTTCTTAGTGCCATGTCTAAAAGGCGAAAACAAGATGAATTAGGGATGGGTACCGAGCCCCGGTATTAAACAGGCCCCAGGGTTGAATTATTAAAGACCGTGGTACCGTTAAGCTCCGACGTTAGCGGTCTTTTTATCGGTACTGGAGACATGTAATATGTCATGTGTATTATTGCTACACAAACATTATATTGCAGTTTTAGTGTCGCCAACTCTGTTTCTAACATGCAAAAAAGACTGCAAAATGCGTCTATGATCATTTTTAGTATTTTCGATCTCTCTCCCGTCTGTGTGCGAGGGGGCGGGGCAGTTTACACACACACAGCTGCTACATGCAGCAACACACACACACACACACACACACACACACACACACACACACACACACACACACACACACACACACACACATGGCGGAGAGAACGCGCTCCGAGGTGTGGTTAAACTTTACCCGTCTCGATGCTCGTTGCCTAAAGTGCAATAAGAGTTTAGCGTAAGGGCGGCAACACGAGCAATTTGTCTAAATATCTTACAAAAGTGCACCACATTCAGACGGAGGAATGCACCGGGTCTTTCTAGTAGCTCTGTAGCTCCGTCCACGAATAACGTTAGCAGCAACACACAGAGTTAACTACATGATACAAACATGGGTTAATGATTAGAGGAAACTGAGTAAGTTATTTTGTTAAAGTTTCAGCTATTCTGTTTACAGTTCTGTCATCACATTATTTAATACGATTTGTTAAAACGTTGTTGTTTCTTTTGATGTGAAATATTATGTATTTAATTGAAATAAAAAGCAATGTTAGTTTTGTTCACAATTTGTTTAGTTAGTTTACATTATTTTTTTTTCTCCAAAAGAACCGATAAAAGTACCGTTAAAAGACCGGACCGATAAGCGGTATCGATAAAAGTAGTAGTACCGTTAAAACCTTAACGATACCCATCCCTATAAGTAATACGTGAGTCTGTTGATTAGTCTGAATTGAACACAAAACAAGTTGGGTCACATGGCTTAAGTGAATTGATGACAGTTGGAATGAATCCATGTTGATGGATGGTTACACCCCTATTTGGTAAAAAATAGCACCAATTACTTTTATTTAGTTATTATTTGTATTGTATTGTATGCATGCATGTCAAAACACTGGTGACCCTTCCTCAGCTTCCTGTCTCTGTCTTTGCCTCACCGTAGGCGTTTGAAGTGGCGGAGACTCAGCTGGGCATTCCGGCCCTGTTGGACCCAGAGGACATGGTGTCCATGAAAGTGCCTGACCGGCTCAGCATCATCACATACGTCTCCCAGTACTACAACTTCTTCAACAACAAGTCTCAAGGTGGTTACAGTCAATTCAGTTGGACTCACTTCATTCTATGTGAACATAAAATGCATATTATGTTAAAATGTTGACCGTATTTGTCACAGATCAAATTAATTTGATGATTTTGACTGAAAATAAATTGAAAAAAACTGCTTTAACTTGTGCTATACTGCACGTATTTTCTTTTTCAGATTCATTTGTTAAACATTTTTTTTAATTGTTCAAACCTTTTTTTCTATATTTCTATATGATTTTTTTTATAAATAGGTCTTTATTTGCACATTTTTTACAACAAAATCCTGCCTGGCAATAAACCTGGTTTTGATTCACATTTTAAATCCAACTTGAAGCTAACCACAGTTTATATAATTTGTTTATATCAAATAACGGATAACTTCCTTTTTCCGCAGCAAACCCCCCTTCCATGAAAAGGCTCAGTTCTGTCGGTCTAAATGAGCCCGCTCAGAAAAGGCCCCCCACCCCTTTGGAAGACAAAGTGGTCGAGTCTGAGGTAAGAGAAAGACTGGTAACCAGGAGAAACAGAAGTGACCTTGTGCACGAGTTGATAATGATTTGTTTTTTATACATAATACCTTTTTAAAAACTGCGTTACTGAACTACATTATTCCTGCATGATACCCGACTGGAGCTGCATGTTAACAAGCTGTATTCTTTAAGTAATATATCGTTTGTGGTGTCCTTCAAAGGCCTGGATAATCACACTGAAACCGCTTTTTTCTGTAGTCTATCGGATCTGGAGCCTTGGGTTTTCTATATGTAATTCTGCATGTGCTATTCGGGGGTATTAAGTCATCAGATCTGTACAATACAAACCCCATCCTGCCGATGCAGTACAACAATGTACCACATAAGTATTTTATAATTACCACTTCCTCGTGTGGGCTTTGTGTTGCACAGCAGGGGAATAAAGTTCCAGAGGTATCGTCAGTCTGTAAAGATAGCCTCTGTATCCTGTCTCTCTTTTCTTTCGCATGCCTTCTTTCCTCCATCGCCACACTCCCATGTACTGGCAACCTCCCCTCTCCACTTCCACCCCCACCCCCCCTTCTTCAGATGGAAATCCATTCCACTCCCTCCTCTTCCTGCTCTTCTTGTTCCTCCTCACATCTGAGCCCCCCTCCTCTCTCTCCTGAGCCCAGGCAGTAGGTTAGGGGTGGGGGTGGGTTAGGAGGTGAAAGTTAGGTCAGTCTTTTTTAACCATCTCTTGTACAAAAAGAAAATACTAACTGTAGTACTATCCTAACACTGTGTGCCAAGTTTGGGGATGCGCTGCTGCTAACCCCCTCGCCCTTTTTGTTTTTACTAAAATACTAATTTAAAAAAACCTCTAAATGCCTAAAAATAATATCAAATCATATTTAAAAAAATGGGACTGTTTAAGCCACTAACCCAAGCTGTTTGGACTTTTTTACTAATAATTTCTTTATGACATTATGTAAAATGTGTGTTAAATCATGTTTAAAACGGAACAGGAAATGCAGTAATGAAGCACACAAATCAATAAGCAGTAGGTGGCAAGTAGACGTAGCTATAGTTCAACAAAAATGAACAATCCACATCCTTAAATTCTGACTTCGTGTTTGATCTCCCCCTCCCCCATTGCTTTCCATCTCCCCCTTTCCCTAACGTTCCCTTCCCCTGCGTCCCGGGTCGCTCACACTAACAGAGCCAGCCTGAGGAAACTGGCGTAGAAGCGGCCTCAGCGATTAAGCGCAGCACGCTCAGCAGCACCTGCGCCGCCTGCCAGAAACACGTCCACCTGGTGCAGAGGTTCCTGGTGGACGGCAAGCTCTACCATCGCAACTGCTTCAGGTAAACACTGCAGCTACTTTGAGTTTCTTTAAGGGGACCTATCATGCAAAATGTACTTTCTGATGTCTTTCATACATAAACATGTGTCCCCGGTGTGTCGGGGAACTCATGCAGCGTCAGAAAATAAAACCCTCTTTCTTTTCCTCCGTACCCAAATCTCTAAAAACGGGGCTACAACGGAGCTGATCCAGATTTGCGTCCGATATGACGTAATATCTGAAATGTAGGCTGGCTTTACACCCACGGCCCTATCAGAAACCTTGCTATCAGAAACAATGCCCGACTGTTTTGGACGTAATATGGTCGGTGTTTACATTAGCATCGCTAACACTCAGAGCTAACCTGTACTGGAGAGCATGTGTGTGAAGAAGCAGGAAATGAAAAGGAACTCACCTTGTGGTATAACCGGCAAGAGAGAAAGCCTTTGAGCTCCATACTGTTTCAGAGAGAATCCTTGATAATCCATGATATGGCGTTTCATTACGGCAGCATTTAGTTTGACAGTGGCTGCCGGGTCCCGCATGAGCTCAGCCCCCTCCTTTTTTACCTTTTTTTTTTTTTTTTAAACTTTATACTCAAAATCAGCACTTTTGAAATGGAGGGATATGAGGCATGGCTAGAATGGGTGATCTGTTTGGTATTTTGAGCTAAACACTTCATAGACATGTTTTTTTATATATTTTTATATATCTGATACCTATGCTATTGCCTACAAATAGCATGATAGGTGACCTTTAAAGTGATTATCCTCATTATTTGAGTCCTGGTTGATTTGGCAACACCTGCAGTCAGTGGTCATAACGGCTAGTGTGAGTTAATACTACAATAAGAGCTACTGTGGTATCTATTTACAGAGAAGCCAGACACACAAACAAGCATTATTTTATAGTTGACCTTTTTCCATTATATCATGAGTAACCTTGCCCATGTTTCACCAGCTGAATGATTTGAATGGGACCCAGAAGAAGTAACAACCATTCATGCCTCATTTAGTGTGAATTTAGATAACAGGAATGTCTGTCTGTATAATTTTGTTTGTATGTTTTTAATCTTTTGTAGCTTTATATCTCAACATTCTTTATGACCTCTTGTTGATCTCACTGGCCTGTGTCTGTGTTCTCTCAGGTGCACGGAGTGTCACAGCACCTTGCTTCCTGGATCCTACAAATCAGGAAGTAACTCTGGGGCCTTGGTTTGTACACATCACCTCGCAAGGCAAGCTTTAGCCAATCAGAACGGCCGGCCGGATCTGAGTAAGAGACCGCCATTGGCTGCTCAGTCTGTCAGAATTGGTCGCAGCCCGGTTCCTCACACCTCGCCCTCTGAGAGGGAACACGCTAAGACTCCTTCTCCTGTAAGACAAACAAATGAGACTGACACGCCAACAAATGAGACTGACACGCCAACAAATGAGACTGACACGCCAACAAATGACTCTGTCCTAGTCACCGCTGTCACAACAAATACTGCAGACTCTGTGGAAGAAGCAAAAGAGACGGAGGGCAGTGTGGAGACCGAGGTGACACCGCGCTCTTCTTCTCCTCCAAACCCCTTTGATGAGAGCAACGACGAAGAAGAAGAAGAAGAAGAAGAAGAAGAAGAAGAAGACGAAGAAGAAGTGGAGAAAGAGGAAGAAAGTAAAACACCAGCCAAAGTAACGACCAATGGGGATCTCCCTTCTACACCGCTCATTCATCAGGAAGGGGCCAGTCGGCCAGTACCGGCCCCCCGCCGCGTTGCTGAGCCCACCCCCCCTCCTCGCCCTGCACCGCGGGTCCGCCTCCCCCGCACGGCAGACAGCCCTACAGTCGGTGCGTACTCACTGCACAATATAAATGATTACATGTAAAAATATGCACCTGTCCTCACAATGTTCTTAATATCACAGGTGAACACCAGAAGCCTCTGATTCCTCCCAAACCTCGAGAAATATCACGCTCTCCTGGAAGGTAGCTGAACTTCTGTTACTGGCCTCTTTTTCTATCCATTGCCACCAATGCATCATCCTTAAAGGAATACGTCACCCACAAAAGCAATCATGTCATCAATTTACCCAAGCCCTGTTACTTTTCATTCTTAAAGAAAACATCCAAAAACTGAGAAAAGTCATGATGTAAAAGGTGGCCATGTTTCACAACAGTTAAAAAAGATATCAAATCATTATTTGTATAAACTCTCACACAAAGCATGTAGTATAATCCCAGTCTCATTTAGCCAGTAGCATGCTAACTACCCGAAATACATGTATTTTTCAAAAAACCTCACTATTTCAAGCAATTGTACAAAAAACAGGCCTGTTTTTTTTGGTGTGTATTAAATATGATTGTTTTACTTTAAATGCATGTGTTTGGGAAACAGTGAGCATATGACTGGATAAATAAGACTTGAATAATATTGCACATGTTGTGAGAGTTTGTTAAAGGATGTTACGATATAGTGTTTGATTCATTAAGAATATAATGCATTTTTAGGCTCTTTAAGTTCACCCTAGAGGGAAGCCAGAAAAACAAAGTATCAGAGTAATTTATATACAATTGTCATTTTGTGGGTGATGTTTCTTTTTTGGAAATCATATAATCATATCTGTCTCAGTTCTAATTTCCATCTCGTCACAGCATGTAGTTGTGTGCCCCTCCGTTTCTGTTTGGTTGTTTTTTGTTGCCTCCCCCCCTGTGTGACCCCTCCCTCCCTATCTGTGTGTCTCACTGTCCAGCCTATCCAGTGGCACCCTTAAACCCAAAGACCCACCTTGGTTGGCCCTGGTCCAATCAGACACCAAGAAGAAGAAAGCCCCTCCCCGTCCCCCTGTTGGACTGGCAACCCCTCCCAACACAGGCTCTCTGTCCTCTCTCAAAGGGGAGGGCTCCAGACCCAGCACCCCCCCTGCGCCCGCGAACCCATTCGACGATGATGACGATGAAAATGTGGAGGTGGAGGAAGAAGAGGGCGGTGAAAGTGCGATTCCACCCACAGTTGCGGCGAGTCACCCGTGGTATCGCATCACCCAGGCAGCAGACACCCCTGGAGCAGACCCTCCCCCCACTGGGGGGAGCTCGTCCCGCTCAGCCAGCCCCGCGAGCGCCAAGAACAAGAAGCGTCCCGCCCCTAGGGTCCCGAAGCCCCCAACAGGTCAACAAGGTCAGTTTGATCAATGTTTCATTTGAATAACATCAGAGGTTGCACCATTCCTAGCTGTATGCTTTATGTATATTGTTGTGGGAATGGAAAGATAAATGAAAGAAGGCGGATATATCCATTTAACATGTTTATTGTAACATTTTTCTGTGTGTCAAAATGAAAGAGAGTACCTATCAATCATCAAACCGTGGGGTCTTAATTCATTACGTGTTGATTTCAATCAACGGGGGAGTACTTCAGGAAAGTTAGTGGAGTACTTCGTGACCACAGAGTGTGATTGATTGATTGAAAAGTTTATTAACAGCTTGTATATTGGGTACAGTACAGTACAGCTCAAAACATACAATTGTTAAGGGGATGCAGACCAGAGAAAGACTTTCGTCTTGTTTACATCAGGGTCCCCCATTTCCAATTCATCATGTCATTTAAGACATATAAAACATATTTGACATACAGATGGCTTATTTACAATTTACATACAGGTGGTTTTTTACATACAGATTGCTTATTTACAATTTTCATTTTAGATTTCGTTCTAATACATCCTAACCGGACATTTAAGACATACCAAGTCTACAGATATACAGTTAGTAACAGAGTCTAAAATGCGAGTATATACATAGATGGGGGGGGGGAAGCTGTCCATTGAACGACAGGTTGAGATTTGTACCATTACCGGGGCCAGTTTTGCAATGCTCTCCCCCGAAGGTGCTCTTTAAGAGAGGTTTTGAAGGTAAGTATAGTTTTACTTTCCTTTACAGTTGTGGGAAGAGCGTTCCACCTTGATGTGGCATAATTGCGAAACGTGTATTCCCCCTTTTTTGTGCCAAATCTGGGTTTCACATGATTTGTGGAGCTCCCTCTGGTGTTATGATCATGGTATTCCTTGACCTTTGGGAAGAATTTTGACATGTACATGGGTACCATAAACGGGGCTACCCCGGCGCGTTTCCACTGCAGCGGGGTAGCCCCGTTTAAGCGTCCCTAAGCGTCCTCGCTCTGGCCTCGGGCTGCCTCGCTGGCCGGCCCAGGCCGTGGCGCATTTCCATTACAGTTTAGGACCTGGGCTAGCAACGCAGTATAGGCGGGGCGATCAGCTTTTTGGCGGGCTTTTACATTTCTCGTTGTTCCGTCGAGCTCCCGCTGGATTTTATCATCCCCAATGAGATGAAGGAACGTCGTCACCTCCTCGGTCGACCACGGTGTGCTTTTCTTAGAAGTAGACATTTTTGTAGCTCCTCCGTTTACAAAATGCTGTTTATAAAAATGCTGCAAGCTTGCTTCTAGATATATATGCGACGCTAGGGATGAACTCGCGCGCAATCTTGTGACGATACTCTCTGACCAATCAGCAGTCGAGAGTGTTGACGTCACTAGTTCAGCCCTGGCCCTGGTCTGAGGGAACCACGATTTGATGAGGCCGGAAAAAGAGGGAAAAAGTACCCGCTGGCCGGTACTAGGCTATATGGAAACACCACCAAAAACCGGCCTGGCCGCTTGAGGACGGTTAAGGACGCTTAAACGGGGCTACCCGCTGCAGTGGAAACGCGCCAATAGAGGTGTAGTGGATCTTGTAGACCAGGCTCTGTGAACGTTGTGATCAGCTGTTTTAGCTCAGTTCTCCAGTGAAGGGGGGGAGTCTCCCTCCGCAGCCGGTTTGCGTAGTTTTGGCACAATTCCGTTGTACAGACCGACGTTAACAGCAGCCCTGTCTGTGCACACGGAGACCGACTCTGTCGTCCGGTGATCTAACCGCCTTCTGGAAAAACTTCACAAGTACGTCTGTACGCAAATGCGCTTTGTGACACAAGTGACAGTACGCATTTCAGATTACGCACATAACCTGCGTACCAGTTATGTGTTACCTGTACTACAGCAAAAGTATTCTCCGTCGGGACTTCCTGCAACAACACCACGCCGTTATCTTGATTCTGATTGGCCAGAAGACATTATCAAAGATGTTCTATTGAGAAGACGATCACTTCGTGACAAAAGTTTTCAAAACCGTTTCTGGTCTTCGGTATTTCCAGACAAGTGGCTACTGAAATCAATCTTACTTACTGCTGTCTGTGCAATTCTCGGCGCGAGTTGGCGGACTTTATTTAGCTTACTTTAACATCATTTTTCATGGTGGGGCTAAGCCATTTCTTGGTATGGGTGTAGCCTACCCCAGCCATAGTCGCTGCCACTGGTGGGATGTATGGGGCGGGCCATTCTGCACATGCGTTAAATGCGTTAAATATTTTAACGCAATTAATTAAAACAATTAATTACTGCCGTTAACGCGATAATTTTGACAGCATTAGTTTTAATATAATATCCCCCCACCACTAAGTCCTTTTTGAAGGGGAACATGCGTTTGCTCTTGTTGTAGTTCCCTACACTGCTAGTGCATGTTGTCCAATAACAGCATTGAGTGGAAAACAACACGTCTTGCAGTGTTTCAGTTCATGGGTATTGGAATGGAAAATGGGATGAATATTGGATTAAAGATTAAGGAAGATATTTTAGCCTTCTTTTTTTCTCGATCAATCTCTACCCAAGGTACCAAGACAAGCGTTCTTCATATCACCATCGCATTGCCAAAATAAAAAAGAATGATGCGTGTGGGCTTTCTTACATCCGAAGCCGATTAAGTGATTGCACGCATGAATAACAGGCAAGGATTCTTCTATAAAAGCCTGTAATGATTCAACCTCAGGGGAGAACCACCAGTGTGTTATTGTCTTCCTAGCACTAAATGATCCTACACAAATATGATGTCTATAACCTGGTGTAATCACTGTGAATAGAACATGCAATCATATTTGAATGGGTTGTGTGCGGATGGGGAGTCCGGGGTGTTTTGAAAGCACTTAGAAACTGAACAGAGGTTTTATAAAGATGAGTTTTCTAGCTACATAAAGTACAGCTTTATTTTGAAATGCCTGTATTATGTGCCATACTTTTTATCGATTTTAAAACATACATTTAAAACATACTTTCAGTGATTTTAAAGCCAAACGCCTTCAAATAAATAAATACTTTGTACTTCAGCACAGTTAAACTGGAACAGTAATGTGAAAGTACAAACATGAAGTGTGTGATGTTATAAATCGATGTTCATTGTTTGTTCTCTTCTCCACCACGATCTGTCTCGACTTTGATTCCCGTTTCATTTCTGCTATTTTTCTTCACTGAACCTTCGTCCCGCTGCAGTCCTCCCTCACTCTCAGCCCTCCTCTTGCTCCCCCTCCCCAGCCCTCAGCACAGAGAGTCTCTCCTCCGGCTCGGACCACAGCTCCTCCCACCCCCCGCTGGGTGGGGGTTCCAGCAGCGACCAGGAGCACACCTTCACCAAGAGTGTCTCTGAGCCCTCCATCTGTTCCCCCTGCGACTCTGTGGCCTCTCCCTCCTCCTCCTCCTCCTCCACCGAGCGCCTGCCTCACCCTTTCCTCAGCCCCCACCCTTCTCCATCATTTGCCAGCTCCGCTCCCGCCACCCCCCAGAGCAGTCGCAGCTCTGGGACCCGAGGGGCCGCAGCCCCTCCTCCGAGACCCCCCACGACCCTCAGCCCATTGGCCTCAGGAGCTGCCAATAAGGTACCAGGTCCACCTCCAATAGAAGCAATAACACAACAATCTGCACATGATGTTTCAGCTGCATCTCTTTGCTCATTTCAGCGGATCTGTAAGGAGAACCCGTTCAACAGGAAAGCTTCTCCCTCTCCTTCTAAATCCAAATCCAAACCACCAAAAGGCCCCCGACCCGCCAGACCCCCGGCCCCGGGACACGGCTTCCCTCTGATCAAACGCAAGGTACAGAAGTAAAACATTTACTACAAGGACGTTTCATGACATGCTGTACTAGGACTTTTACATTATTCCTTACTAACTTAATAGGAATATTACAAATAATATAAAATAAAAACATACAAGATAAAACTACAACAATTAAACATTTAAATGAAAAAGACATTCCTATGTTGCCAGTGTTTTCTGAGCCTGAATGATACGGGGAGCATCTCTCTCTCTGGCTGATGTTCTTCTCTCACTCATCCAAGCCACAAATACAACTTTTACATTAGATGTTGTTGTGCCTCACATGAAGGATCACTAGAGAACAATTGACTGGCACTTTGCCTTCTGGGAACCTGAACCTACTATGTCATCGCTATGAGCTACTCTCCTGGAGCTGCACCATAGATAAGCTCTATGCATAGATGTGCAGAGAGCTCTTAATATTGATCATTTTACAACGGTTACAGAACACATGTACCTTGATAAGCATCATACTTTCCTGTCACTGTTGATATATATATCAGCATTCAGATCAGCACTGGGAAAATAGCCACGGTAACGTACTTCCTTGTAGTCATGAAAGGAGTATCGCACAAGTGAAACAAATACAAAAGAAAAAGGAAATCTTATCCTCTTTAATGACATTGAACTACATTATTCTATGTCTTTTAATTACGGTTTCTTTATGACGTACTTCTTATGAATTTGTTATGGGAAAACTACACTATGACATTTTTACAACTTCATCGGAATTTAATACAATATTTGGAATGGCTGAGTAAGTTTTTCGCACCATGCCTCCAGGTGCAGTCAGACCAGTACATCCCGGTGGAGGACATCCACGGGGAGATGGGTCAGCTGGAGAGGAAGCTGGACGAGCTGGAGCAGAGGGGGGTGGAGCTGGAGAAGAAGCTGAGGGACAACCCCAACGGTAACACATCACACTACGTTTAATATATGTTTATTTTACTTTTGTACAAGTAATACAAATACACGTAATACTTCCACTATTTGTATTATGAAGTCGGTCTAGTTGCTATAAATATACACAGTGAAAGTACCAAAAAGCTCTATTCACGGAAAAATGCAAGCTTTGCAAGAGCAGACCGGACAGTTCTGTTGAGAAATAATGTGTTTTGGAAAATTAGAGCAGGTTCTAGAAGAAACCCAAAAAGACAAGTAAGAAAACAAGCATACCTCATCTCAAATGAAATACTTTTTTACCTAAAAAGCTCACAAAAGCATCATTAAGGATTATAAAACGTGGGGTTGGGATGGCAATAATGCTAGATATCACCTGTAAAGAACAATGCATAATAACAGAAACATGACCAATACATCTCTGTGTTCCTCTGTTGTGTTTTCAGATGAGGATGAGGAGCACCTGTTGGTGGACTGGTTCACTCTCATCCATGAGAAACATCTTTTAGTACGAAGAGAGGCTGAGCTGGTCTACATGTAAGTATGAGACGCAGCAGACGCTGCAGGGGTAGACATTAAGGGTCAAATTCCACTGGCCCAAGAGCATTCGTCCAAAACATCCACTAATAATGAAGAAAATTAACACATTTGTTGCAATAGTAATGTATGCACAAACTACATTACTACTTGTACTACAACATTTTAATCATCAGTTTTTCCTCAATTGTTCATATTTGGTTTATTAAAATAATTATATTGTGGTCATTGTTAAATGTCTGCTATTATCATTATTATGAATATTATTATTATTTGTATAATGTTCTTTCTGCCTTCCTGTCATTAGGAGTTAGAAATGTAATGGCTATGTAATAGAACCTTCATTATCCTAAACTGCTGGGACATTTCCCTATAGCCAATATACCTTTTATATTTTCTACTCTTCACTTACTTGTCAGCATAGGTCGGCATTGAAGTACAGAGCCGACAAAAGACCTTGTTTATATTGGCATCATATTGAAGCCAACTCCATCGATCAAGCCAGTGTGGCTGAAACTTTCTCTCCCTCTTCTTCTCATGCTCCCTGTCACTCTCCTTTAACTCCTCCGGTGACTTTCTTTGATTTGAAGATTGTTTTTTGCCCGGCGCTTGGCCGGTTACCGCTGGTATTAAAAACCTTTTGGCGAATGGTTAGGTGGCGCTAAAGTCTGTAGTGAAGGAGCGCGTTCCCGCTCACGGGAGACTGCTCGCGGCCTCGCGCTGCGCTCTGCAGCAAACTGCTGCTTGCTTTTCACCGACAACCGCCTCATGAAACGCTATGTTGTAGAGTTAATAAACGAAACAATTTTGCAACAAAATTGCTTGTCAAAATACCAATACCACAGGACCATTTTTTGTAGCAATATTTTTAGTGGCCCGAGCGGGCAAGTGGAAAGTACGTTACGTTGGCCCGGGGTCTCTAAATAGTGCTTCCGGGCCAGCGGGCCATTTATAATGTCGTTATTCAGTGCAGCGAATCAGCCGAGTTCCTGCTAGTTACTCAGAGAGGATGAGGCATTTTCTCTGCTGAATCCTTTGCTTTTAAAGTGTAGGTCCATCATTATTTTTTGTGACTTTAAGAGGCCCTGTTATGCCTTAGGGCCCCTTGAATGTAAGGTAGTGTTAAAGTATAGCGGTGTGTAACATACTGTGTACGTGTTGCTCTCTGCAGAGCGAAGCAGCAGAACCTGGAGGAGAGGCAGGCTGACGTGGAGTATGAGCTCAGGTGTCTCCTCAACAAACCAGGTGTGTGTGTGACCCCACCATGTTAACAAGAGTCATCACAGTCTGACTCATGAATGTGTGTAATGCTTGGCTTAGAAAATTAGCAACCCAAATGTTTTATACATCTGCACACATTGTATTAAAGGGGACCTATCATGCAAAATGCACTTTCTGATGTCTTTCCTACATAAAGATGTGTCCCCGGTGTCTCGAGGAACTCACGCAGCGTCAGAAAATAAAACCCTCTCTTTTCCTCCGTACCCAAATCTTTAAAAACGGGGCTACAACGGAGCTGATCCAGATTTGCGTCCGATATGACGTAATATCTGAAATGTAGGCTGGCTTTACACCCACGGCCCTATCAGAAACCTTGCTATCAGAAACAATGCCCGACTGTTTTGGACGTAATATGGTCGGTGCATGTTTACATTAGCATCGCTAACACTCAGAGCTAACCTGTACTGGAGAGCATGTGTGTGAAGAAGCAGGAAATGAAAAGGAACTCACCTTGTGGTATAACCGGCAAGAGAGAAAGCCTTTGAGCTCCATACTGTTTCAGAGAGAATCCTTGATAATCCATGATATGGCGTTTCATCACGGCAGCATTTAGTTTGACAGTGGCTGCCCGTAGAATCTCCCGCATGAGCTCAGCCCCCTCCTTTTATTTTTTTAAATCAATTAGTTTTTTATTTTGTATACCCCAAATCAGCACTTTTGAAACAGGAAGTGAAATGGAGGGATATGAGGCATGGCTAGAATGGGTGATCTGTTTGGTATCTCTTTATATCTGAGACCTATGCTATTGCCTAAAAATAGCATGATAGGTGACCTTTAAAGTAGAATCACTAACTTCTTTTTTTATCTGTGACAAGTTTTGCACACACATTCAGTAAAACCTACTCTACTCACATTCATTATATCCGTTTATATATTTCTTCTATTAACATGAATTTAACTCCTTCTGTTTAACTTGCACACTGTATTCCTGCAAAGTGCACCATGTTCCCATTGCATATTAATACAATAAAGAAAAAACTGAAATCCTTCTGTATCATCCTTTGCCTCCTCAGAGAAAGACTGGACGGAGGAGGACAAGAGTCGGGATCAGGAGCTGATGTCGGAGCTGGTGACGATCATCGAACAGCGGAACCAGATCGTCAACAACATGGACCAGGACCGGCAGAGGTAACCTGCTGCTTCCTGTCAATCTGTGCGGCTCTGATCAGTCATACTTTGTTTCTAACACGTGTCATTCTGTCACAGGGATGAAGAGGAGGACAAACTGATGGAGGCCATGCTGAAGAAAAAAGGTATGATGAGGAGTGAATCTATTTGCTGTGGGTCACAGATGATCATGTTATCTATGTATTTACTTAGTTTGCCCATACATGTAGGCTTTGTTCAAAACACAAGCTCATTTTATATATAAAAAAAAGATTTCTTATAGTTTGCCTTTTTTAATTTGAAGGCAGTTTTTTGTATTTAACTTAAAGAAAATATTTCAAAGATAATATTAAAAAACCTAAATAATTAGCAATCTAATAAAAAAAGTATAATTATATAAAGCAAGAGAATAATAAAAAAAAAGACTAACTATAGGTTCTTTAGAAATGTGTAAATCTCTCGTACTTCTTTATTTTCTTATTTATTTTGTACTGATTTTACAAACATTAAGAATTGTAAAGCAATTTGCGGTCTCATTTTCCTCCTCGTCAGACTTCCATAAGGACCCGGAGGTCGAGCCGCAGCAGAAGAAGAAAGGGGGGAAGTTCAAACCCATCAAGGTGCTGAAGAGGTTGAGCCATAAAGGGGAACCAAGCAAGAGCCCCCGCAAGGAGAAGAAATCCCCGTAGACACAACGCTTCTCCTCCAAGGACATGAGACTTTTTTTAACAACTAAGGCAGATTTAAAAAAAGGACGTGAGCAAAGAAGATAAGAGGAGGTCGTCTGACTGTCCCCCAGAATCCCCCCCAGAATCCCCTCACCTCTCACTCCTCACTCCATGTCTCTCCAGTGACCTTTTTTCCGTTGCCTTTGTGTGATTTTAGAGAGACGGTATGACGGCTGCTTTATGAGCGGACATGTCTGTAAGCCTTTGAAGCAACTGAGGTGACCCGCAGGTTGTAAACGACTGCACTGATTGGTTGTTTGTTGCGTCACTCTCCTTGTCATTGCACAGCGTGTCTGACCCTTCAGGCCTTATCAAGGCTTCACAGCTCCACAGTTAATCCCTGAGTGTTGTATTGGTTTGAATCTGTTCCTGACACGTTTATTACCCTCTGCTCCTGAAAGCCAAAGATAAGAAGCTGGATATCTGAGGCTTTATGTCTGGTTTGAGCCCGTGGTACGAGTTTATTTTTATCTAGCAACGTCTACTCATGAAATGCTCGATCAACAATGCTAAGCTCTTCTAGCTGCTATGTTATGACTGTCTATGGGTCCCTTTTTTATTCCTCCTGTGATACTTTTGCGATGATGTCCCTTGTGTAAATGCATATCATCAAAGACGTGGATGTGAACGTAGATATACAGTATTAATAGGAAGTTGTGTGACTGGAAATCAGATTGATTTAGAACGGTTTGTAGATAACCTTTCTGACACTTAAAGGTTATCAGTATGAAAGGTCACACATGCAATAATGAACATTAGAAGAGGCAGATATACAGTATGTTACCAACTGTAGCAAAGCACCAGCTTATAACAGACTGACCATTGGGGAGAAACCTGAATATGCAATCATTAATTTATATTTTACGATGCCTTTCTGTGTGTTTCCATGTATTGATAGGAAAAAAAGTGTTAATATTGTTTGTCCGTGCCATTTATTTAATTTCAGTGTCATTTGTTTGATGTAACTGTCAGTATGTTTGTCCTCCATTTGAACTGCAGTCTGCGTTGTGCCTCTGCTCTGTGCCTGTCCTCCTGTCCTCCTGTCCTCCTGTCCTCCTGTCGGCTGTAACCAAGGGCTTCTGTAGCGCCACGTGTTCTCTAACAGCAGCAGGGTTATTACAAAACATACTGACACCGGAAGGCAGAGGAATAAAATAACTTACTGCAAGTCCTTCATGTTTCTTGTAACTTTAGTGCGTGATACAGATAATGTCTCAATGTCTCAATGGCAGTGAGTCTTCTCTTCTTCTGTCTCGTTTATCTCCATCTTTTCTGTGACCTGCCTCTCAAATGTCAGACTGCGAGTCTTCTCCAACACCTGCAGCTCTCGGATCCTCTGTTATGGAGTCGTGACAAAGCGGAAAAGACTATCAGTTCACGAGAGAATGAAGAATACTCTTTTTTTCTTCTGTGAACCTAAAAGTCTGAATACAGACTTAAACTAATACCACTATAAAGGATATCAAAATCCTTAATCATTTGAGCTCATATTACCTGGGATATCTCCGAGTTGATGATGCTGCTGTACTGCCTCTCCTGACCCAGTGAGCCCATCTCTGCCAGGAACTGTCTCCTCTCCTGTATCTCATCCACAACTACAGAACAGACATGTTCTTATTAGATGCATTCAAAAGGCGTCGGTAACACAAAGCAGGATTTACATTTAGGCTGGAAAATAGAAACATGTTTGAATCGGGCTGCTTTGTGTTCATTCAGACGTGGCGTGTTCCTCTACAGGATTTATTTATAAACTAAGGGAAATGTTCAATAGAATCACAGTACCAATATGTGCAAGTGGCTGATAGATCAATGTAGCTTAAACATTTAGTGAGACGGGTTATGTTGACGGCAAAATATCATGAAGAAAGTCACTTTTTTCCTCATATTTTAGACATGCTGTACTATGTCATTTCCCGACATACTGCGGCTTTTTCGACAAACTCCACTGTATTGTTTTCACTTATATTAATGACATACTGTACAATGTATTTTTTCTCATATTTTCGACATACTATGTTAGTTTTTTTGCATATTTCGGCCTATGTTGTTTTTTCAGAATACTTCGGTGTTCCATAATATACATTTTTTCCTGAAAGTTTCGGCTAAATATACTTTGAAAAAGGACAAAGTACATATTTTATTTGAATCAGAAAAATATAAATAGCATAAAAACTTGAAATGATCAAGTGTTAAATGTTAATATCAGGAAAATGACACAGTATAGTACAACAACAATACCAGGAAAAAGGCATACAGTAGTGTATGTATATTACGTATAAAAAATATATGACAATTAAAAAAAAATCTGATATTATATTACTTGAACAAATCGTACTATATTTTTGTAAAACTAAACCAAGTGATATTATATGTTCTACGGCATACAGTCTGTAGCCTCACCTATCTGATAGCGGTCTCTCTGCTCAGCGACCTCTTGGTTCCGACAGGCAGAAACATGTTGGGAAGCTTTGGGCTCTTCTTCTCCTGTTGCCAAAATATTCTGAAGCCTCCTCTTCTCTTTCTCCAAGTCTCCTAGGGTGGACAACGAGAGTGAAGACTGAAAGATTCTCAGGATGCAGAAAACAACAGAAACAGGTCACCATCGTTTAGTGAGGAATAATATGAAATGTAAGCAAGTCAAAGTCATACAATCAGGATAAATAATAATGATGTCAGTTTCGACATACTTGAAGGACCAGGACAGAACTTCTCTCTGACGTAGCTGTTATCCGAGCGACAGGACTCAGCGCTGCGTCTCTGAGGCTTCCCTGGAACACGCTTCTGGACACATTTACTGGTTTTCAGCTGAACGGGTGAAGATGATGGTGTGGGGTCAGAGTTCAGAGGTAAAGCTGCTCCATCTGAGGGAAATGTAAAATAGATCAATGAGGGCCTTTTGTGGCAGGTCAATTGTAATGCTTAATGTTCCAAGAAATAATGATTAGGTTATGTTATGATCTGGATGTTTATGGTGGGTTCTGTAATAAGAATATCCATCATGATCATTTCATCATAAAACATTGTAAGAATATATCAAATGTACGAACTTCATGTGCTCTTATAATAAAATAGTATCACACAAACCCCCACCTCTCATTCAAAGGTAGAACACTTACTTTTGAGGCATTGGTTGATCTGTTTTCTCTGGAGGTTGTTGAGTCTTGATTCCTGCATCATTACTGAGCCCAGGGAGAAACAGATTCACATGGGCATTCGACCAAGTGGGCATAGTGTGAGAATGTTATCCAATATCATCACATCTAAAAATTGTACATAAATAAAGCAAATGTTATAAAATAAATCCTCTGGAAGAACCAGGCTGTGAAATGGATAACAAACATTCTGCACAATGCTGAATCTACTTGTAGTTCTGTCGATACCATGTATTTATTTTAAAGAACAAGCCTACATAATCATAAGTGCACTGTGCACAGGCTTAAATACACTCAGACACACACGTCACCTCCTGTGTGTGTGCTTCACTACACTAGAATATCAATATGTGCTCATCTCACGTCTCAGCAGATCCTGGGTCTGTTGGCTGTACTGGGTCGCTCTGGGCTTGTTCCACAGTCCTCCATCTCTGCTCTGTGAGGAGGCCTCCATCTGTAACCTCAAACACACATAAATAACTTATCAGCACCCCTGGGGCTTCATTCAGCATAGTCTCTGTTCTGTTGAAAGCTGCATGTCAGATTTTGTGAACATGAACAATTCACTAAACATGTTAGGAAGCAGCTAAGCTTTAAAAGGGATTTGGGCAGATTCTGGATCACAGCTGCAAGGTCAACATACAGATAAGGCGTGCTGGATGCATTATTTTTTCAAAAATAATTCCAAAATGTACAGAAATCATCGATAAAATGCTTAACTTTGTCTGAAATAGCACAATGCAGCTAGATTGTGTTGACATTAACAAGGGTTGGTGCACTAGTAGGATACTAACTTTGACAGTTATATGCTAAGAGAGGGTGATAAATAAGTTGACTCTGTAAGAGTAGCATAAAATACACGATAATACTTAACAATAATACAAAATAACTCACTTTAAATAAGTTTTCTCCTGTAGCAAGTCCTAATGTCGGTCGTCCTCCGGGTTACAGACGGCAGTGTATGTATGTTGCCATAGCAACTAACAACAGCTCAGCTTCAAGCTCTTCCGCTGGAGGTGGATAATGTTCGCATAAATAGACACATAATAAAACACACATTTTATAAATAACTTGATGAGTTTTTTCCTTTTCTTTTGGAACTACATTACATACTATTTAACAACAAACGGATCTGTGTGATTATTATTTGTCGTAGGCTTATGTAGATAGGCCTATGTAGTTTTAACAAATGGCCACTAGATGGAGACAGACATATGGTTGTGTTGATACTTCGATTGATAATGTGCAAAACTAATTATGAATTTGTTACAAACTAAATAGAATATAAATAAATGTTTCAAAGCCAGAATTCAGAATGGACATAACATACAGCTCTGGAAAAAAATTAAGAGACCACAGCAGCATTATCAGTTTCTCTGGTTTAACTATTTTTGGGCTATGTGTTTGAGTACAATTTAAGTTTTTTAAAATGATATTCTATTAACTACAGACAACCTTTCTCTGTGTTGGAATTCAACAGACAATGGAATGGCTGTCATACATGTAGACATTGAGATTTAAGAAACTCTGGCCTCTTAATTCATTTATATTAACTTTAAACGCTTTATATGCATAGCATCTATATTATTCCCAAATAAGCCCATAAGCATTTTAGGGCATATTTGTGTTTGATATTTATATTATTCCTAAATTATTTAGGGTACGACCAGCCGTGGATTAAGTATTTTGCTTAAATATAAGTACAAATACCTACCACACTGTCAAAAATAATACTCTGTTACAAGTAGAGTCCTGCATTGAAACCCCAAAGTAAAATACACATAATCACTAAAAATGTACTTTGAGTATTTAAAGAAAAACGAACTATTGTACTAATATATTATTAGATTGATTTTACTCGCGGATTAATGTAAAAGCTGTATTTAACTATTGGTTTAGGTGGAGCTCATTTTTTTTTGAGAACACAATGCAACCTAATTATTATTTACAGTGGTGTCAAGTAAATAAGTACATTTACTTGAATTGATGTTACTTTGTACTTCTATTCCACCACAAAACCGAGATAAATAGTATACTTTTACTCCACTACATTTGTGTATAACCTTAAGTTAAAGATATAGATTAATGATAAACAATATGATCAACACTTAAATAAGACTTTAGTTATACCTGTATTCAATTCACATGCTACTACAAATAAAATATTTAAAACTTGTTCCACCTTTACAGGCCTGATAAAAACAGAATATACACAATATATGATTGTGAAATAGGCCAATGTATCCGCAAATATATCTGCATAATGAATACTTTTACTTTTGGTATTTTAAGTATATTTAGATACAAATACTTTTAAACATTGGGTAACATTGTCAATACAGGACTTGTACTTGTAACAGAGTATTCCTACACTCTGGTATTTCTACATTTACTGAAGTACAAGATCTGAGTGATTCTTCCACTTCTGATGATTTAAACCATGAAACTATACAATTACTATCAAAAGACTTGTTCTCATAATCAGTTGGATTACTAGAGCAAGTTTTTAGATCAAACAACTACACAATATCTCTTCTTCTTTTATTGACTTTCTGTTTTCAACTTGTAGTTGGGAGTATGATAGTATCACAGGTGTTTGTAAGGACAACAAACTAACAAACAAACAATGTGTTCAGGCCATAGAGGGGCTGTGTGTAGAGCGTGTGCAGTCGTCACTGTGAGGAGGGAAGAGAGGCTCTTTATCAGCGCTGGCTCCTCATCAGGGATCAGCAGCCGTCAGGAGTTCATTATCTGTGAGGAGACAGCCGCCTGCTCGGCCTCGTGTCTGCAGATAAACAGCAGCCAGAACATAATCACCTTTCACACACAGGTCTTCTCAGAAGTCACAAATGCATGTACTCACTGGGAGACAGGGAGCGACCCCCCCTTTCCTGTCTCATTTTATTTGAGTTTTTTAAAGCTATTTCACTCCTGCTATGAATTAATGTTTTTAAATCCTGTTTATCGCCTTTTGTATATTTTATTGCCGTTTTATGTCTTTTGTAAAGTGTTAAAAATCTTAATGTTGTTGAAAATGTCAATACATATAAATGAGCCTTGATGATGTCTGAAACCTTATCTTGGGCATCTGTTAATAACATTCATCTTTAATCATTGGGTATTATAATAAACTGTTAATGCACCATTTGTCTATGGAGTCAGTCAGTCAGATCCCCTCTGGTTGTGTTGTTAAACATGACTGTAAATCTATTATTTACTCAAAAAACAGGAACATATTTAAATTGCCAACTGAAAAATAGATTGTGATCTGTATTGCATGTTTGTTCTCCTTGTCTATGGGCTCTACCAACATCTGTTTACTCATATTTATATCAGGTTTTAAAACAGGAAGTAGCTTTGTAATGAAAGACCATGGACAATTATGTTATATAACTACGTTTCAATGTTTGAGGAGCTTGGGACTTTTCATTGCCAATTCTATACTGTAGCTATACTGTGCATATGACAATAAAGCCTTTGAATCTTGATTTTGACTTATTATAAAAGCCTGACACACTACATGTTACATTACATCACATTATGATCGCATTTAGCTGACGCTTTTATCCAAAGCGACTTACAATAAGTACATTCGACCAGGAAGACACAACCTTGAAGAAAACAGAATCATATAAGTACATCAGGTTTCATAGAGCCAAACATTTCAAGTGCTACTCAACTGGCTTTAGATAAGCCAGTCCTTTATTAGTATAAGTGCTCTGTTAGCAGTTCTTTGTTAGTAATTCATGTGAACACACACTTCCTGGTATGCACCAACACACTGTGCACTCAGTACCAAAGCATGCTTTATAAGATAGCAGCCAGACATCTGATAGCCGTGTTCACATGAAAAATAACATGGAGAGTATTACTCTGCAGTATTAATGGATCATTTATCAGCAGTCTATAATACTGCTACCTCTTCTATTTTCTATCACTTGTTAGTAATAATTGCATTATCCTGATATATTTAGCTATTTTCGATCTTTAGAAATATAGGCCACTTGCTAATTTCTTTTTTAATAGAACACAATTAAAAGACAATTTGTTTATTGTATTTGAAATACAAAAGAGTTGTACACCTTGTCCTTGGGTTGTTTCATTTGGTGTTGGTTCAAGTGAGTGAGTGGAACGTGTCGGGATCTACGTCATATATTCATTTGCATTAGAGTTTGAGGGAACTGTGTTATACCTGCATTCTGGTCCAAATCAATCAATTTGTGTTATTTATACTTTCTCATATTGTATTTTTAATATTGTCATTGGATGTATTTTCAGGCATCCAATGACAAACCCACTCATCATTGAGATGTTGTGTTTATTGCTAGACGTAGGTATAGAGTCACTGTCAAAGAAAGACACAGCAATACTTTTTTGTAATTAAAAAAAAGTCACAAAAGTATTTTCCATCCTTATATTAATATTCCATTTTCCTTTTTGACATTGCAGCCATAAGCAGTTGTGTTTATATTACTTTTGCATTTGATTTGATTTGCAAATCAAAAGTTGAAGCTTATTTCTCTTTAATTAAGTAGTTGCTCATTGAAAGATACCGGGGAAATTAACCGATTCAGTACTTAAGTTTGTCTGGATAATAAAAGATGCATTTCTGGTGCCAGCTCAGCGCTCATGAGTTCCTTGCTCTGAATCCCACAGAACGGGAAGACATTGAATGTGGTGAGAAAAGAAACATACAATCTTAAAGGAATACAAAAAGGAATCGAGCAGAGTAAGTCACACTTACGCTCCACCTCCTAACGGTCAAAACCTACATGAAAAAGAGAGATTTGAAGTGAGACATGCAGCTGACAGAGATAGACAAGAGAGAGGAGGGAGAGATAGTGGGGGGTAATGGAGAAAAGGAGGCAGCTTTAACATCCTCATTCTGGGCCTTTTAGCGGACTGTCACTGGGCCGGGCGGCCTGCTAAACTGGGCTTTGACTTTCTGTTAGCTGAGGATGGTCATGTGAAGAACAAAAAGCAACAAAAGAAAGTTCTCTGTGTTCCTACCTCTGACAATCGTCTGTATATCAAAGTGCTCGATGGCTGTCACGCAGGCTGCGCTCCCTTCCTTCAGCTCCTTCTCCAGCCTCGCTCAGTCCAGCGACAATATGAAAGTAAGTATCGTCCGACTTCATCGTTTCAATCCTACACAGTGACAGAGAGAAAACAATTGATTTGGATATCCTCATGGTTTATGTCATAATGTGTTTCACAGATAAAGGATTCATTATTTCACTTGATATTAACTGAACGTTATCGTGTTTAACTGGAGACTAAGGCTCGTTCAGTGCACTTGTTGGAAGTTGTTTAAGACAAAGGCATCTGCTAATGTAATATGAAAAAAATGATCAAGTACAAGTTTATTTTTGCGGTACTTGTACTTCTTACTATTTCACTATCAATTATGGAGACAAATATTGCACTTGTAACAATTCAATCCAGTGATATATTATATTTAACTTTTTCCAAACAGCATTATAAGTACTTTTAGTTTTGGTGCTTTAGGTATATTTTGGTGCTAATCTACTTAAGTAGCACTTTGAATTTGACTGTGGTATTATTATACTTAAGCTAAAGATCTAAATGCTTCTTCCACCGCAGCTCATTATCTGAAAAAAGTGTGAAAAGGGAAATGTTATGTCCCGTTTCAATACATTTATTAGATTATAATTCATTGTCATTCACAGTCTATCGGACATTATGAGTTACGGGTGACAGTGCTGTCCATCGTGGCCGCAAACATTTCCCTCCCTAAAGTGGTTACACTGAAAGTAAGGGTGAACTTCATCCAGACGACTCATTGAATTTGTGAAGTTACAGTCTTTAAGTCCAATTTTCCCACTCTATATTTCCGATGACAGTGTTTCCCTACTGAGCCACTGTGGAGGGATTCTAACACAAAAGTAGAATTTTGCACTGAAAATGAAAATGTAGAAGATGCTTGGTGAATGAGGGATTAACACACACTCAAGTTAACTACAACTGATCTTTCAACAACCAGTATGAGCAAAAGAAGCAAATACAGCACCCAGTAACTCTTTCAATGTACACATAGACATATGGCTGTGTCTATTAACTGTCATAACATAATATTTATTACAATTATATTTCAGTTACATTGAGTTCATTTACTTATTTTTTTAACTCCATTCTGGTTATAACTTGTAATATTCATTCCTTTGTTATTATTATAATTCTAACCCTTTATATACCTTTTTTCTTTACTTATTGATTTTATATAAATAATTAATTATGAATGTAATTATTTTTTTTATTTACTAAATGCGAAAAACTGTATTTAACACATACAGATGGGTCAATTTGGTGGAAAATAATCACATTTTGTTGAAAGGAACAGTAGTTCAACCTTATAATAAAATGTATGATTTTCAGTTTTTTGTGGTTTCAAACAGACATTTTTATGTGTTCGGGTGTTTATATTTTGGCTAAAGAGTTTCTTTATTTTTATTTAATGAGCTGAAGGTGCTCTTCCAAGATACGGGCAAAAAAAAAGTATATTATGTCAAATGCAATTACACTGCAAAAATGTTTGAACAATTAAAAGTCAAACTTGTGCCTATGATGAAAATAGTGCCTATTAATGTAAAATCATGTGCAGGAATCTCCTTGTCACACTGGCTTCCCTGTTTCATCCTGACTTCTGCTCTCCAACATGGTCTAGGTGTGGGAGTCAGAGGGCGGCTCTCTCCCTCTGGACTCTCTCAGCAGCAAACTGTCACCCAGCGGCTCTGAACAGCTACAGGTCTCACAGCAAATAACTGAGGAGCTCCTGGATGATGACAGCAGAGTATCCTGGGACATTGAGTTCCTGCTGTCTGAATGGAGCAGTCCATCTACCAACCTCGACCCCTCTCTGGATAACAAGGATCAGGGACCCCCACAGTCAGACCCTCACACAGAGTACCATGAGAAACCAGCCCAGGGGCATGTGCAGGTGAACACAGGCTGCCTGATGGAGCTCCAGCCCGCTGCTGAGACCTTCCCCTCCGCCCAGCCGGAGGTCTATCACCATGGTTACAACGGCGACCAATCGGGTCGGTTTCATAGTCTACCTAACGTAGATCAGTTCGGCTTCCCTCAGGGAGGCAGTGTGGAGAGGCACAGCAGAGGAAATAAGGTCTCATCCTGGGACTTTAACCCTTACTACCCCCAGCAGCACCCCTCCATGGTGCCCCTCCCCGACAGAGGGTTCATCCCACATCAAGCCGTGACCCCTGACTCACTACACTACAGCTACATGCCACACTTTAACCACAACCTCTTCCGTGACTACACCCACGGCCAGGCCTCCAGTCACCTGGCTCTCCACCAGCAGACCCTGCTGATGGGCCCCCAGCTGCCCCCTTGTGGGGAGGAGATGAAGCGCGGTCGAAGGGTTACGGGGAAAAAGAAGCCTGCCGTCCACTGCTGCGACTACCCCAACTGCAGCAAGACCTACACCAAGAGCTCACACCTCAAGGCTCACGTGCGCACACACACAGGTAAGCCCCATTGAAAAATATATTAGTCTTTAAGGTCACCTATTATGCTATTTTTAGGCATACATTATAGGTCTCAGACGTATACAAATATATAAAAAACATGTCTATTAAGTGTTTTGCTGGAGAGAAAAAAAGATCACCCATTCTAGTCATGCCTCATATCTATTTCAGCCCTGTTAGAGAAGTGCTGAGTCTGTGACTGTAGCTTTAAAAAAAAATAAAAAAGAGCAGGGGGGAGCTATACCCAGATACTCAGCTAAATGCTGCCGTGATGAAACGCCATAACATGTTCTTCGTTTTTAGAGATTTGGGTACGGAGGAAAAGAGAGGGTTTTGTTTTTGAGTTCCCTTACACACCGGGGACACATATTTATGTATAAAAGACATACAAAAGTGCATTTTGCATGATAGGAGAACTTAAATATGTGACTCAGTGATTTATCTTCGGTTGTATTGTTTACTCTTCAGGGGAAAAGCCGTACCAGTGTTCCTGGGAAGGCTGCAACTGGAAATTTGCCCGCTCAGACGAGCTGACGCGTCACTACCGCAAGCACACGGGACAAAAACCCTACGAGTGCCTGCTGTGTCAGAGGGCCTTCTCCCGCTCCGACCACCTGGCTCTGCACATGAAGAGACACATCTGATGCTCACACACACACGCAGAAATGAACAGGAATCATTTTTGATATTGGTTATTCGTTCAAGTTTTTTTCTATGACCCAAATCAGTACACTGATCAGCAGACCTAAGAAATCAACCGAAAATGTTCGAAATATTACCTTGAAATCTGCACTTGATCATCTGGCTGGTTAATACAGGCCCACATGTAGATAAGCAACATGAGGATTGAAACACAACTATTGGTAGGCTTGTATTACAATTAATTTATCTTATACTTTTTTATTTGATTTTTGGCTAAAGAAATGCCATATTTTACCCTATTGAATCCGTGTTTTCCTTTCATTTAACACTCGAGGCTCAAAATGAGATTAAGTGAACTCACAGTGATAATTAAGGCATAAATAATACAAAATGTTGGAGTCGATTAAGACTTTCTCAGTAAGATGTTAGGACTCAAATGTAAAAAGAGATTAGGTTGTTCTCTCTTTGACCTAAATAAAAATAGCAATACAGATATAAAATCAGTATTCTTTGTAAGAGCCAGTTAGATGAACACTGTAGGCATGTATACAGAAAACATTAACACTAACAAAATACCGACCTACAAAAATAAATGTATATTTATTTGTGTGTACTACGGGTTATAAGACAATACACAGTTGTAGTATCTCATGGCACGCTGAACAGAGAATTGACTGCTTAATGCTTCGCTGTATTTCTGCTTTTATGATATCTTAGTCTGATTTCCATTTAGAGGTTTAGTTCATAGTAATCCTGCTTGTAATTCATACCAGACCATAAAACATATTTGAAACTATGTGATGACAGTAAATGGAGAGCTATGCATTTTTGTCACCTTCCTTTATGTTTGTCTGTTTGGGGATTATTAATTTAAGAAGAACATAATATATGCTTTTGTCTCTCGCATCAAGCAGCATTTAAAACTGTAAATAACCTGCATTTTTCGCTCAGTTGTTTATTTTCATCTCAAATTAAAAGCAACATATTTATTTACATAATCTTTTTTTATCAACAGAAAATATATTATTGTACAGTGTTTCCTATCCTCAAAAGAGTGCTTTAAGGTCTTTTCATTGTTGTTTGCATTTTCAAACTTCTAATAAAGACCACTAATGCTGTAAAGCTGTCTCTACATTTGACATCATTTTTTTCCTTTCCTGTAGTTGGTTATATCAATTTATTTCATGTAAATGGTCTGCAAAGGCTAAAATCTCAAAGTTGTTTCTCTCCCACACACCCCCCCTGCCTGAAACGCCTCCATTGGACTCTTTGGTTTACTACTGTAACATAATGACATCACTATGTTACCCTTGCTTCTATTGGCTATCGATCTAACACATTATAGATGATAGGCTAAGGTGGGGGACATTTCCAAGCAGTTGACCAATCACAACAGAGCCGGACAGCTAACCAATCAGAGCAGACTGGGCTCTGGTTTCAGACAGAGGGTGAAAAGAGGTGCTGCAGCTCAGGCAGTATGAGAAAAATAAAGAGCTTTTTGTACATTAAAGCATGGAGACATGTCACAGTAGAGACACTACATACAAATATGAATCTGAAAATGTGCGTAATAGGGTCCCTTTAGGCAGCTGACTTTAACACAAGTTATATCATAAGAGTTGTAAGTACGTTACTCTAAGATACATCTGCCCTGTATAAAGCAGAATAAAAAAGATTTTACAGAATACATAAGAGCTTAGGCATTTCATGTGTCATCCTCACAAGTAATGTCAGAACTTGACCTGTAGGTGGCAGTCTGTGGCAGTTGTTTCAAATCTGGGAGAGGGTTGTGCTAGGAAAGAAAATCTTCTTATGTAACTCAGCACTCACGGAATCCTCCTGATTATGTCAGATGATGGAGTTTGTGATCACATTACAGCAGTGACGTGCGGTGAGGTTCATGGCTGGTGAGGCACTGACTCTTTCAGTCAGATTTACAAATATCATATTTTGACCATAATCGACATATTCGGTTATTTTCAAAAGCTTTTTTAGTCTGATGCTTCGATTAATTTTAAACAGACCGTTCAACAAAAGGATACCCAAAATCTAAATATTGGATTGTTCTTTCTTAGTAAGATCCCATTTTCATTACCAATGTGGTCTTACCTTGACTTGAAGATGAAGTCCATGCTATCCTTCTGGACAACAATCTCTATTACTTTTTTGTAAAAGTCCTCCTTATCTTCCTCTAGTTTCAAAAGTCTAGTTTGTTGTTTGCGTCGCGTCTACCCCGTCTCTACGTAGAATAACAGTCGCAACAAGAACCTGTGGGCTCACTTGCGCCCCCTTCAGTGCGGCAGAGGTTATGGCTGCCTCCCCTGGTGCTTTTTTCATTGCCGTTGTATGATGAGACCAGCGAGCCTAAATATCATATACACGTGAAATAAGTTATTTAGAGACTATGGATGGCGAGGATAAATGTAATAAAGGGATCTATAAACATTACATTGGTGACATACAGTAGTGAGATGGTGCAGGCATGCGCTTAGGGCCCGCTTTCCAGACAGTTTATGTGGGGTGACGCATTCTGAGGTGAGGCAGATCTCATCTGTGCCTCACCTCACCACACAGTAACTGGCTTGAGCGCGCTCACAAAATAAGTGCCCGCGCTAAATTAGTGCCCGCGCTCCAGCCAGTTACTGTGGGCTTACGTGAGGCAGAGCTCGTCCCTGCCTCACTTCTCATCGCTACCCGTAGTTGTAGCGGAGGAGCTCTGCACATTTGCTGATTTTGACTATAAAAAGCGATTGGAATCATACAGAAATCACATTTACAAGTTACAACACAGATCAGTGGAGACATTTTATTATTATTACTATTTAGTTTTTCTTTAGTTGTTTTTCGTTACATTGGAGTATGACAGGTGAGGCTATGCCTCCCCTGCCTCCCCTGACTGCACGTCGCTGCATTACAGAGCTACTCTCTCGCTGTCTCTGTCACATACCCTTGCACAGATAGTAGACCCTGAGGGAAGACAAACAGAGTGTACTTATACACACAGACCAACAGAACTTAACTGGCTTGTGCTACAAGCACCAAAAGGGATTTTGTTTGAGTTTATTAACATCTGGCTTTATTCAAGTGAAAGATCACCCTCAACATCTCACATTACAATGTTCCCAGTGTTATATCTCTCACAGGCTCCGCCCTCTACTGGACTCTATGTGTACTCCCCTCGATCCTATCATGCAAGCATTCATCCACTGAGACTTTCTAGATGTAGCCGGCCCCTGCGCGGGCCTACCTGAATGTGCGCGCATCTCACCGCATAAAAGGAGGCCTTGCCTCCTTACTGTCATCCCTTTCTCTTCAGCAAGGCCGTGAGATACAACTGAGTGAAGAAAGACGGATGAAAATATAAGACAACGAAGAAAATGGACTCACCATTGCTCCGCCCCTGTCCTTCGTGTCCGGGCTCCGTAGAGGGCGACGACCCCCACTGTCGGTGCATCGAGTGCCTGGGGTCCGACCACGCGGCGGCCAACCTGGGCCTGCTTGCAGTCTGCAGCGCCTGCCAGCTAATTCCTCGCCCCGGCCACCATCAAACGGCTGGCGCAGTTTGAGGGTTGCTACGTCTCGCCGGTGGAGGACCCAGAGTTCGACATGGTGGAGATGGAGGACCTCGAGGAGGGAGTGCCCTTAGTGTTCGCCATTCCAGCGGACCGGGCGGGTCGGAGCGTCGGGGAGAGGGATGACGATGACGACACCTCGTCGTCTGGGATTTCTGGTGACCGCCAGGAAGGCCAACAGCACAGGTCTGCGTGACAGGACTTCCCGGCGGTGATGACTATGGCGGCGGAGCGTGCAGGCTTGCCGCTCCCCCCACCGTTGCTACCGAGGCCGGTGAGCCGCCTGCGTCAGGGCTTCTACGGCCTGTCCAGCACAGCCGGCCTTCGTTTCACCCCCCCTGCCAGAAATCTGGCGGTGTGTGGAGGCCACGTGGCGGCAGCCACTGAGAACGAAGGCTCCGGTGGCTACATGGGCTGGCATCCTCAGAGTGCAGGGCCACTCGGACACGGAGTGTCCCGGTGTGCCACCACTGGATGAAAGCCTAGCGGCCCATCTGCTTCCGCAGACAGCCGGGTGGGCAGAGGGGAGGAGGCCCCTGCCCCCGCTATCGAGTGACCGCAAAATGCTGTATCTGGATAAGATATTCAAGCTTGGGGCGCAGATGGCGGCAGCGGCCAGTAATCTTGGTGTGTTGGGAGTGTCGCTGATTACCCCTCGGCAGGACACCCCCGCCCCCCCGCCTGAGGGCAGGTGTGATTACTCGGACCACTGCATGGGCCAGATGAATAATCTGGTCCACGGTATGGCTACCGCAGCCGGTCGTGTGATGTCCCTGGCTACCGTGGCGTCGCGTAACGTGTGGCTGGGTCTGACCGCACTGGCCAAGAAAGACCGAGACGATCTCCTTGGGGCCCCCGTTGCCACGGAAGGGCTCTTCGGATCTATATCCTCGGTCACCCAGCGCTTCAGTCGCCTGGAGGGAGAGAGGGCGCAGCTCAGCCGCATGCTGCCGCTGGCACGTTCTCAGGTCTCTCCGCAAGGGAGAGAGCGCCCGGCGGTGGTAATGCGGAGAGAGAGGTGCCGGTATAGAGCCCCTAGAGCTCCTGATACGCCTTCTGCCTCCGCGGTCTGTCCCGAGGTACTGGCCCTCACGAGGACAGACGGACCGAACCGTCCGGCGTGAGTGTGGAGGACATATGCACGGCGGCATCTTGGTCAACGCCAGGCCCCTTCATAAAGTTTTATCTCTTGGACATGTCTGGCTCCTTTTCTTCGTCTGTGCTTGCTGGGGCAACGCAGTACTGGTGAGGAGGGAGGGGGGCTGTGGGTCAGTGAGCATCTGACCCCCTCCCCAGGCGTAATGGGCTTACGTTTTCCCCGGGGCACGTGACGCGCACATGGGCCCATCGGGGCGGGAGGACTCTTTTCCCCCTGCTTTAGGGCAGGAGGGGGGAGTCCTCCACATCATAGCACACCTCCGCGGGGTAAGCGCGTCAGAGTGTGCTCTGTCAGACGCAGCCTCTTTTCTCTCCACGGTTAAGACCGAGGGAGAGGTGAGTGAGGCGCAGCGGCTGCTAACCAGAAAGCCGGTCAGAAACAGTGAGAACAGTGTTGTTGTGGGACAACAGCACGTGTATACATCGGGGCTCCGCCCACTGTACCCATAGAGTCCAGTAGAGGGCGGAACCTGTGAGAGATATAACGAGGGGTTACGTATGGTAACCCTTGTTATATAAACACAGGCAGAGAGCCCTCTACTCTGGGGCCCTATCTGTCCTATGCTGCTTGCTGAAGAGAAGTAAAGGATGACAGTAAGGAGGCGAGGCCTCCTTTTATGCGGTGAGATGCGCGCGCATTCAGGTAGGCCCGCCCAGGGGCCGGCTACGTCTAGAAAGTCTCAGTGGTTGAATGCTTGCATGATAGGATCGAGGGGAGTACCCATAGAGTCCAGTAGAGGGCTCCGCCTGTGTTTATATAACAACGTAACCCCTCGTTTTGGTATAACACCATTAAAATACAATCAAACAGGTAAATAACACCTACAAAAGGAAGCTGTTTTATGGGGTTCAGAATTCCCTTTTGTGTACATCAGAGATTCCAGGTAAACAAGAACAAGGGGAATCTGTTTGTAATATATTGGCTTTAAAGGGGCCCTCCACTGATTTCACCTTACCATGTTACCCATCATGAAGAGAGCTGCTCAGCCTCTTAAATCAGTTCTAAAATCTACATTAAATTGCTGTTATCAGATGTTATCACTACAATTGTACTCCGACAGGGCGAACTGTATCTGCCCGTACGTTGCAAATTGGTCACAGTTTTAAACATGTGGTTTGGTTGTGTATGGAAACAAAAATACTTTGT